TCCGACTCCACAGCACTGGTTTCTACTCCCCAAACCACTAAGTTAGGCACGTGGCTGCAAGTAAAAGTGATTTCTAGGATCGCAAAAATATTACATTAAAAAAAATACCCGAATAACATCACATGAAAATAACATGATTTGAAGGTGGTCTCATTAGTCATTATTAAATTAACTTCTTTTTAGAAATTGTAAAGCATAAAAAATAGATTTTTCCCCTACACCTCTAAATGCCGGTATATTGAATCATGTTCCATTATAAATTGAGAATGCGTCTTTATTCGAAAAACATTTAACAATATGTGCATTTAAAATCACGCATAAAATGTATTAAAAAAGAATAAACAAAAACAGTGTTAGTTTCGTTTTTAAAGTTCGTTGTTATTATTTAAATCGTTCGTCTTTTTCGCAAGTTATGGAATTAATAAGTTAAATATAATTCCAAAGAAATAATATACGTGAAAATGGAAAACTTTTTAAATGTTAACAGAAAATTTTAAATGTTTAGTGCGTTAATAAAAAAAGAATAAAAATAAAATATACCAAAACTTTTTTTTTCATTACGAAATTAACTCATTTTATTTAAATAACTTTTCAAATTTACCGGTCAAATTACATAAACAATGACGAAATTCCAAACATATTTTAAAAGTAAACAATTGAAAATAAAATACCGGTTACTTAATGACGAAAGACGTAAAAGTAACTTACTTCCACAGTTATTGCTCACAAAGTAAACTCAAACACTCGTACCCAAACAGAGGCGACCAGCAGACGATGTTAGAAAATGACGTCACTTTGCAGTGACCGTATGGATTGCTTTACGGATTGGTCTTTGGCGCAATGGCGCAAATTTCTTCTGTCTAGTACTCTGGGTTCGATGACTCTAAACTTTGTTACGGTGTGGCAACCCTTCAGGGGGCAAAATTTCTTTTACACATAACGGTAATGTAATGAGATTTTATTTTAGGACTGCCCCAGCATTTTTTGTTAATATTTTCAAGGTCGCTTAATAAGGTTCCAGAGAAGAAACGTTATAATCGATAACAATTGTGCGAAACGAATAAAAGAACTTAGATTAACCTGATCTTGAATAAGAATAAAATCTAGAGAACAAATGTATTTCTAGAATTTTTTATAATGACTGCTTTAAAGTAATTTGAGAGTAGAACTCAGTAGTTATCGTTGCATATTAGGATTGATTTAGTTACCGTATCTTCTGTTTTCTGATATTTTTTAAAAGAAATTTTGAACTATCGGCTATATTGCGTATTTCATTTCGCATAATTTACTTTAATAACTAGTTTAAATTGAGTCCAAAAAGTGTAGATTAATGTTAAAGCAAATATATGTGTTTCTAAGGTGAACAGAAAAATAAACATTATTATTTAAATAAAAGACAATTTTTATGGTGTTGCTCTTTAAAATGATTAAATTCTGACTTCTTCTTTCTGGAATTTTTTTGTTGCCATTTTTTGTTATATACTTCTCAATTTTTTGAAATTAATTTTATAAACATCCTAAGTGCAACACAAACAACATTAGTAATACTTACTATTAAATTTATGAGTAATAATCTGTGATAACCGTTTGAATTAATAAATCATATCCTGGATTTGAACTTGAGCTAATTGCATCAAAAGTTCGATATTTTTATTTTTTCCTAAGAGAAAAATTAAAATTAAATAGCTTTAATATCGTTTGCTTTGGAACTCTTATTTTTCGATGCCTTTAAATGTTATCGTTTTTTAAACTAAGCAATTTGAAAATCGTTTGAAGTATAAAAAATTTTTGAGTAAATATATTTAACTATTATTTATTTATTTATTGTTGAAAAAATCAAGTGAGAAGAGATTGGATTTTTTCTAAATAAAATAATTCCAAACGATTTTTAATATTCTTTGAACTCTTAATTACGAAAATCAAACAGTTCAATTTCTCTTACATGTTCAGAAGGTTGGTAATTTTCCACGTAGAAAAAAAAACACAATTTTAAGGAAAGCTTTAAAACTTGTTAGTTATTAGTTTTTTTTTTAAATCAAGACTGCGCTTTTGAAGTTTCTTAATTGAAGAAGATTTAAAACACGAGAGCAAGTAAAGTTTTTGTGTAATAAAGTTTTTTTGTTCTTTTTCTTATACATATGTATTCCGACATAAAATCCTCATTTCTTTATAAATAGAATTCATTCTAAAGAAATATTTCAGTGGCTAAATATATTTTAGCTGGTTGAACATAACTGTTCTAATGGGTTAGATAGGTATTGAGTACTCAAAATATCCATTTTTTAAAACATTTATCTTATAGTACAACATGTTAAGAATATTTTTCCTAACTTTCATGTCAACTAGAGTAAAACTCTTTTTCCCCGTAATTCATTAAAGCAACAATTAGCATTTTTTTCTTCCAAAAATTCAAATTTCTATTTCGTTTTCTATGCTTCGGTAATTCTATCTAAAAAAGAAGTGTGTAGTATTTAAGTATGCATTAGCTTTTTAGATTTTGCATTCACCCCGAAAATTTTTCTTTTCTAAGGGTTCTCCGAAAATCAATTATTTATATGACATTTTCAAAACTTTTATATGAAAGCTTTATGAAATGTTGTTCAAATCCTTATCTTTCATATGCTTAAAGTTAAAAATAATTAATTATTTATTTTATTATATTAAAAAATATTACACAAAACATGACTCTACCTTTAAAACCTAGCACCTTAATATTTGTGAAGAAGGTTTGTTCTTTTTGCGCTTAATTGAATCAGGAGAAACTCGAGTTTATAAAAGCTTAATTAATTAAAAAATCAGTAACTTTTGATTAAAGAGTGCATCAAATGGTAATTATTTTTAACATATTCAAAAGGTAAGTTTTAATGGTAAAAGTATAATTATCCCTTAATCTTAACATATAGAAATTCAAAACTTCATATTCCTCCTAGAAACAATTTTTTTGGGAATATATTAAAATTGGTTTTCAAAATACGTACAACTTACAAGCATTTAATGATTAATTTAAAACAAAAAAATTTTATGACTTTCTTCAAAAATAATTAAAATAAAAAAACACTTTTTCATCTCAAACAGTGTAAGACATATAGTTTGTTATAAAATTTGCTTTTTAATTTCTGTTTCAAACGTTTGTTTATGGATTAAAAAAAAGACACAGTGGTGCATTTTTTGGAAACGGGTAGTTTTATTTTGGGACACTATTTAAATAATGACTTTCAGATTTTCTTTTAATCAAATTTACAGAAAACTTAATTTGGCATGGTCAAATAAAAAAATTTCTCAATATTCCTTCAATGAAAAATAAAATTTCTCTCCATTAAATTAGATTTCAGTTTCAGATTCTGATCAAGTTCTCATGTTTACTATATCAGATACAGAATAAATTTTCAGAAACTTTTTACATGGTAAATCTTTCACTTTTTCATAATGCTTTAACTCAACGTTTTTTTAAATGAAAATTTGGGAATTCTAAAATTTGAAATTGAAATTAAAACTTGAGAGGTTTGTCGAAATAAAATAACACAATCCAACAGCTTTAAATGTAAATAATACAATCCAACAATTTTTTTTTAATAAAATGTATTTTTTTTGTTGGAAAATCATTAAAAACTTTCTAGAAAAAACTACAAAGAGCGATATAGCGTTTACTTTATATCTTTGTATAAAAGAAACGACGGAATATTTCCAATCCCCTGTGTTAAAATGTATTCCATAACAAGGTAATCAAATAAATAAATAAATCACACACACAATAAAAGTTTAGCAGTCGATTTAGCAGTTTTTCCCCACAAAATTATTAACCTGTTAAAACATTTCATTCCCTTAAGGAATCCGACTAGGTACTACTAAATTTTTTTTTTAAAAAATCCTTTAAAATTTTTATTTTATTTTCTGTAAGCAGGGGTTCCAATATAATAAATCTTAGCTTAAACTTAAACTTAACCTACTTTAAACTTAAACATTAACTAGTAAACATTGAAAATTTTAATAATATTTTTTTCCAAAGGAGGGAAAATTTGAACATAAAAACTACAAATTTTTTTATGTTACATTAACAGCTTTACAATCAAAATTTTTTTTTCTAAAATATAGCTACCTGTGTTTTAAGCTAAATACTGCACATTAAATACCGTACATTGTGTTTTGAACTGTACATTAAATAGATCAAAATACATGTTTCAATGCTGATTTTTCTTTAAATTCAAAACTTTCGTACTGAAAGCGTGATAAAAATAATAAATTCAAACCCTAGACCTTAGCTTTTTGTTCAAATCATAGCTAACATTATATAAAATCTGCATACAAAGTTTCAAAGAATTCTATTGTAAACTCTTTTTGTAACGCGTGTTAGCGTAAAGAAATTTTCTCAAAATAACATTTTTTAGAAAAGGCAAGAAAATGCACGAAAACTTTGACAAAAAATCAATAAATAATTGTTAAAAAATTAATTTCTGAAAGTGAATTACATTTGTCTTAAACATATAATTTATTTAAATATAAAAATTAAATACTGAAAGCATAACAAAAACATTACAGTTTCAAAACTTCAAATAATTGTATTATAAATGTTTTTGTAATGTGTGTTAGCGTGAAGAGAATGGCTCAAAACGAACGTTTTCCGAAGAAAAAAAAATGCATTTACAGTAATTAATTGCCAAAAAAATATTAAAACAACTTATATTATATGAACAAAATAATAAGAATCATAACACTCATTCTCCATTCAAAGCGATTTGAAAAGGCAATTACATGAATTTAATCAATTTAAGCGATTAAATGAATAAAAGTTCAAATACAGACAGTAAAAAAAAAATCGAAATTTCCGTCGAAGTTGATAGTTTTCACCAAGTCGGATACCTTAGGAATTAATTTAATAGATAACATTCTTATATTATCATAACGGTTTTGATATTTACAGCAATAAAAAGACTACACATATGTTGTTTCATTAACTGATTTTTGAAACATTTTCTTTTACAAATTCAATTGAATAAATATAATTACGATAAAAATATCAAATTTATTGATGGAATCTCACTTTTAATACAAAGGATAACAGAGTACTTAATAGATAATGACATCATGCACAGCATGTAAAATTAAAAACGGACATTAAAATTTCGATAATCTAGTTTATCCAATATTTGCCAGTTTCTCAAATCGCAGTGTTCTATACGAGATCCAGGACTACCTTGATGCTGTAACCACATAGCCCTAAAAAACATAAACAATTTATAATTCTAAATCATACATAAAAGTTTTTTTAAAAAAATTGGATTTTTTTTAAATGCATATAACTTGATTACAGTGCTCACAATAAAAAATTTTCATACCCTGAAGAACTTTCGATCAGGATATCGAAATTCACATACTACGATGCTACAGTGCTCGCGGTAAAAAATTTTACACCTTGGAGAACTTTCGATCTAGAGATCGAAATTCACATACTACGATGCTACAGTGCTCGCGGTAAAAAATTTTACACCTTGGAGAAATTTCGATCTAGAGATCGAAATTCACATACTACGTTGCTACAGTGCTCGCGGTAAAAAATTTTACACCTTGGAGAACTTTCGATCCAATGATCGAAATTCACACACTACGAGTGCTCACGATAAAAAAAAAAATTAGGGTAAACCAACCATTGAGGGAACATTACCCAGTGAAGAAACATTTCATATATATTGATTAAAAATAAGAATCTGAAAGTTTTTCTTTAGATTGATTGGTAACAATAGCTTACTGCCAAACAATAGGAAGTCATCTAGCAATGTTTTGGATTACCTGGTCAAATAGACTTCTCTGGAAAAATTTTTGAATTTGTTATTATCTCTGCAACACCTTGTTTCTTTGAAAAAATTATAAGGTGAGTGTTTGTATTTATATGTTTGAAGTGGAATTAATTGCATGTAATAGTTTTATTTTTCTCACTGTGAAAAAGAGAATTCAAAATATAGTTATTGAAGTTACGTTTTATTTTTTTTAAGCATCATAGCATAATAAAGTACTGAGATAAGGGGGCGTTTATTCACTGGATCACCAAACGATGAAAAACCAGTGAAGGAACAAGTGTTCCTTTACTGGCTTTTTTTCTACGTTAATGAAAATAAAAGATAAACTTTAATTTTCTTGTACCTTTAGTGATGTTCCGCATCAAAAGTATGTTAAAAATACGAAAAACAACTTCTAACCAGTGAGGGAACAGGCATGTTCCTTTACTGGGCATAGATTTCCCAGTGAATGAACAGTATGTGTTAATATGTTGACACTTTAATTTTCAATTCATGATTACAAAAAAAAGTTAACATTTTCCAAGTATTTATATGTTATAATTTCAAGAATAGGCTTGTTTTTAAATATTTGTATGGCTTATAAATTCATAAAGAGCATTAAAAAATAACCAAAATTAAGTGTTCCTTTACTGGGTGTTCATTCACTGGTAAGAGCTGTTCCTTCACTTGGTCTTCTTACTACTTGTTATTTGAACCTCCAAAACTTTAAAACAATATTATGTAAGTTCTCTAAAATTTTTTTACATAATTTCCAATTAGTAACAAATATGTTGACACTGTCATTTAACTAAAATTACGAATTTTGAAATTAATATGATTTTTTAAAAGGCAAGCGATGCTTAAGTGTTCCTTCACTGGTTAGTTTACCCTATACCCAGAAGAACTTTTGATCTAGTGATTAAAATTCACATACTACGATGCTACAGTGCTCGCAATAAAAATTCTATACCCTGGAGAACTTTTGATCTAACGATCGAAGTTCATAATTAGTTCTAAAATCATTACGATTGCTTCTTGGAATTGAAGATCTTGGAGCAATATAAATGATAAACCGCATTTTCAAACAGTTCTGGAGATTGATCTGCCCCCGCTTATGTGTTTTGCGCAGATATCTATTTCAAATCACAGAATCTCATAAAGAATGTATTTGGAAACAATACTAAGGAATAGTTTTAGGTAAGAATTCCATCTTTAAAAATTGATGCAGCTCATCATTGAATTCCCAGAAGCCCCTTTAAATAGTACTTAACTCTTAGCCCTTTATATCACCTTGCATATCTGCAACATACATAAAAGGCCTATGACTTTGCCCCAACAAACTTTGAAGGACGATTTCGGCGATTGTCGGCCAAAACTAGTGCGCCAAGATGAAATTGGCACTGGCTTAATTGGGCTAAGGCACTGGCTTAATTGGGCTAACAAAAGAATCAGATGCAAATACCCAAAATGCAAAGGATTTACACAAACTATTTGTGAGAAATGTGGTGTAGGACTTTGTTACAACGAAAGTAACAACTGTTTTAAAAATTTTCATATGAATTAAAATTTTTGAATCTCTCAATCTTAGTGCCATTTTTCACAATGTTGCAGGAATGCAGCAAGCACTTTTTTGTCATTTTGCATAAGCTTGCAGAAATGCAACAACCAATTTTTTTCAAATAATTTTTTTTATTTTATGTTGTAAATTTTTTTTATTATTTTTTACATGCTTAGAATGATGTATTCTAATGTATGAGTAATTTTTATTAAAATCAGAGTTGTTGAGATATAAAGGGTTAGACACGCAGATTTCCTTAAACATATTTCTCATACTTTTTTCAGTATTTTGTAATAATTTAGAACAGAATAGACGAAAAATATTACATTAGCATTTTAATAGTTTTTTTGTTTATAAAACACAACAGCGTACACTGGTGTCTCTTTTTGCGTTGATGGTAAAAATTTCCCAAACATGGTTCCCTTTCAAACAATATATTTTTCAAATTTGCAATTATTTGCAGTTGTTTTGATCTAAGATGAACAATAATTCGACTTTGAAACTTCTTTAATTCGCAAAGTCAATTGTTGATAATTTTTTTTAAATTAATAATTTTTAAATTAAATTAAATAATTCAAACTACTTTTCTTTACTTCATATTTTAGAACAAATATAATTCCGGTAATACAGTGGATTTCTTTCAGAAACTATTGGAATGTTTTTTATATTTTATATTTTATAACCGTCGTTGAACAGCAGACCGAATTTTATGGGTTTACGACTACTAATGTTCATCTCCGTAGCCTTGTAACTTTGAACCCAATCTAGAAGACAAGGGAACTCCTGGATCGACTATTGGGAGAAATTTGCCTTCGTGGAGGACTTTTTGATGGAGCTAACCCGCATTTGCTTTACATGGAAAGGAAGACCACGAGAACCTCCCACGGTTAGCCTGACGGCAAGGGGACTCTAACCCAAGATCCGTCTACCACTGAGGATATTTCACATCAGTACTGTAGTCGGTGCAAGCCGGATGCGGAATTCGTATCGACTGGGATTCGAGCCCGGTTCGCCTCAACTGTTTTTTATAATTAAAAAATTCCAAAATATTAGAGAGTTAAATTAGAGAGTCAGAAAAAAATATTTAAAACATACATCGTTGTTCCCTCTGTGCCAAAGGATTAAAATCTGATCATGAGAACAAAATTTATTTTGAATGGTAATATGTGTCGCATATGAGTATCTGTGTATATTTGTGTATATTTTGTATAGGAGTTGCCTCCCAATAAGATGACCCAGGTTCGAACTCCCGAAATAGTTTGTCTATACGAATTCTGCTTCGGTCCGCACTGACTACAGTGCTGACGTTAAAGTATCCTCAGTGGTATACAGATTATATGGGTTGGAATTCACTCGCCTTCCGGCTAACCATGAAAGGTTTTCGTGGTTTTCCTCTCCATGTAATGCAAGTGCGAGTTAGTTTCATCAAAAACTCTTCCCCGGAGGTAAGTTGGTCCCATTACTTGATTCAGGAGTTTCCATGCCCTCTGAATTGGGTTAAAAATGAACCGAGTTGAACATTGATAGCTGTAAACCCAAAAGTGGGTCGGCTCTAACCAGTCGGTAATAAAAATGAAATTCTATTCAGCTAGATGCAGTATATATAAAGCTGAGAATTAAAGCTTTGATATAAGTTTAAAGCTTTTGAAATTAGTTTCTCTTAAATTGAAAGTGCCCTTTGACCTTGAACTTTGAGTGTTTCAATATGTTGTTTAGCATGTTCTTCCACTAAATCATTCAATTAAATGGGTCCTTTTTATAATTTAGTGTCATATGAAAATTGAAGAAGGATTTTTCTTTATTTTTTAATGTCAGATAAATGTCCCATAATAAGACACGGTTCCCAGTGGTCAAGCATCACCGGGGAGTCAGTGAGTGGGGTGTGTGACCACTTTGATCACCCTGTGAAGGAGCCAAGGGTGCATGGTATCAGTTCTCGTTAAACTGTTCTTCCGTAAAGTGCTGGACTTCAAACGCAGGCTACCAAAGCGTGGGGGGCACTCCTCTCTACACAGGATAAAAATTGTAATTCCATGTTTTGGGAACATCCTCAGGGCTGCTTCCCGGCCCGTCGCCAATATCCCATTGTGCAGCCAGTGACGTAATGTGTGACGTAAATAAAACACTACAACTATAAGTGAATATTTCTCAAATATAACTATACACACCCATATCTCTTATGCTAATTGAAGGTTTTTCCTTCAGACCTTTTTTAATGATATTTTAAGTACAATGAAAATTGTCAAGTCTGTGAACAGACATTTTTCTAACATTTAATCCCTCAAATTTCAGCAAAATAATGTAAGTCTAAATTAAATGTTAAAATTATATTTGATGTAGATTAAGAACCTAATAAACTAGATTATCCAGTTGAAGAAATAAATAAATGTTTTTTATAGAACTAATTCTGATAACAGACAAGGTAAAACAGTACTTAACACTATAAAATTCCTTTTTCATCAAACAAAAAAGTGCTACCAAATGGTTTCAAATGGTTAACATAAAAAAAAACATTTTACTGGTTACTCATTTTTCTTTTCTAGACTGCCTTACTGGTGAACATGGGTTACCATTCATAAATTCTAATTGTGCAGTCTTAAAAAGATTAATAAAGATATGGTAACAGACAGACATCAACTGTACTTAGTTAAGCAAAAGCTTACATATATTTTTAGGAATGAAATTTAGAATATTTAATGAAATTGTAAAATATAACAGAGCATAAATTTTCGTTTCTGGAAAGAGAATATAAGAAAAATATTTTATGTATAGAATGGCGATATACTTAGTTCTCTCAACTGGTTTCTTTGAAGTACCATTACTTTTTGAAATAATATGGCATAATTTCTTTTATTTATTTATTTTGTTCTTAAGAGTGTCAACTAATGTCTGTGTAATAAAGAAAAATCATGCAAAACTTCTAGCATCTTCAGTAAAAGTCTTTGTAAAATGGCACCGAATTATAAAAATGAGACATATACTATAATCGCTCGATCCCCAGTACGAATGCTTTTTATAAATATTTTTACAACATTCGCTGAATAGCCGACCCAATTTTCCGGTTTACGACAACTAATGCTCAAACTCCGCAAGCTTGTAATTTTGAGCTCAATCCAGAAGACAAGGAAACTCCCGGATCAAGTATTGGAGGTAATCTGTCTTCATGGAGGTCTTTTTGATGGAACTAACCTGACTTTGCGTTACATGGAGAGGAAAACCTTAAAAACCTCCCCTGGTTAGCCTAATGAGGATATTTTACATCAGCACTGTGGTCGTTGCGAGCCGGGTGCGAAATTCGTACTGACCAGCTATCGATGGGATTCGAACCCAGTTCACCTCATTGGAAGGCAAATGCTCTATCCCCTGAACCACCACGGCTTCACTGAATAGAAATGAAGGGAAATTAAAACGAAATATGTAAAAAATGGAATGTTAACCTAAATATTGAGAAAAAAAATATTATTGAAATATCCACCAATTTAGTGGAATTTTTCTTTTAAATCAAGCTTATTAAAACCAATGATTAATTTTCAATTTATGCTTACTTTTATAGGCCCAAACAATGCAACGCTGAAGCAGCTCTTCAAATATTGAAAAAATAGAAAACAAACGCTTTTCATTTCTACAAAATGTCATTTTTTGTCATTTTTATCTTTAGCATAGTTGGTGCTGGTAAAAAGATTGACAAATCTTAACCTAATAGTCATGCGAAACTATTATAAACTAACATCTACTATAAAAATAGCAAATGTTTCCCTAAAAAGCGTTAACTGCATATGACCAGAGAGCTTTCAAAAAACAGCCTACAATACAAAATTTACAATGCAGAAAATAAAAAATTTGAGCCAAATCGGTCGAAAAGCAAAGGAGAAATCGAATTTTAAAAATGTCGTATTTTTAAAATTAGATTTTCCAGGAACTATTCAACCAATTTCGCTCAAATTTTGTATGTTGCCATTTATAATTATATTCTTCAAAATAATGTAAAAAATCGTATATCTTGCAATCCAAAATTTTTTCAACTATTATTAAATAAAATAGTAAATATTTACAAAAAGTCATTTTTTGCATGGAATTATCTTTGAATCTTGGCATACAAAGACTAGCTTTGGATAAACAAATTTTATAATTAAATGCAATTTTTTTTCAATTCACTTAAAAAGTTCGCGAGTTATAGCAAAATACGTAAAAAATAGATTAACATTGGGGCCAAACTTTGGACAGCTCTCTTGACCAAACTATAATTTACATTTTAATACTAGTTATTTATATTTTACCAATAATTGGGGGGTCAGAAATCAAAATCCGTTGCGAAAAAAAGCTAATCACGGCGAAAAAAAGCTATGTTTATTTAGAGAAAGTACGTTTTTGTGTCTGATTTCGTAACTTAGAATATCGTCATCACTAATTAATTAGCATATTTGAGGTCAACCCCTCAAACCATTAAGAATGAGTCCTAGAACGCGAAGATCTAATCATTAGATCAAAAGTTATTCAGTTCATTTCCTTATACGAACTAAAATGCTTCTTAATTTAATCTATTCAATTCTCATTTAATGTTATAAAAACGAAAAATGATCTTACATTTCGTCAACATTTGCTCTTTCTCCTTTAATAATACACAAAACAGTTCCATAGGGTGCTTAATTTGATCTTTTCAATTCTCATTTAATGCTATAAAAACGAAAAATGATCTTACATTTCGTCAACATTTGCCCTTTCTCCTTGGATAATACCCAAAACAGTTCCATAGGGTGAAGGTTTTGTCCATCCTTTTAAATCAAATCTATCACACATTTGCTTGCAATACTGTAAAACAAAAACGGGAGCAATTTTTACAAAATGGCTTTTACATGAAGTAAGAAAAAAATGTAATGTACTTTTTTTAACACCTGCCTAAATAGGAAAATACTTAATTTTCGATTATCTATAAATTGATTTCACAATGAAAACATTATAGACATTTATAAACATGACAGATATTTTGAAGTGTGTAATTGATAAAAAGCTTTGCATAATTAATACATTAATTAGTATAATTAATATATTTTTATAACCGTCATTGAACAGCCGAGCCAATTTAGGATTTACGACAACTAATGCTCAATTCCGTAGCCTTGTAATTTTGAGCCCAATCCAGAAGACAAGGGAACTTCTGGATTTAGGAGAAATTTGCCTTCGCGGAGAGCATTTTGATAGGAATTAACGCATTTGCGTTACATGGAGAAGAAAACCACGGAAACCTCCCACTGTTAGCCTAACGGCAATGGGACTGTAACCCATGATCCGTCTACCACTGAGGATATTTTACGTCTGCGCTGTGGTCGGTGCGATCAGAGTGCGGAATTTGTATCAACCAGCCATTTCTGGGATACGAGCCCGGTTTACCTCATTTTAAGGCGAGCTCTATCCCCTGAGACACAACGGCTCATAATTGATATATGATAATTATATTGTTATGTTGATGGTTTTATATTTGTTCAAATTTATACAACAAAAAATTTCGAAATGAATAATTTTATTTACTGGCTATCTTATGAATGTAAAGTGAAAGAAAATTACTTTTTTATAACAACGAAAGCTTAATAAGTTCATTAACAAAATTGTCCCTTTCACGTAGTAACACATATTTCTTATTAAATTATAACATATTTCAAAAAAGTGATAAACATATTAATACAAAAAGAAATATTTCGTTAATGAAATTATTATGGAAGGTGTTCCGTAATTACCACCCTAATACGTATTTTTAGAATCCTCGACAAAAATATAAAATAAAAAAATACAGATATTGAAGGTCGCAAAAAAAAAATAATAATATTTAAATGAAAAAAAATTCTGTCAAAACTTATCGAATCATTAGTAAGTAAGACTAGATGAAAAGCAGGAAAACCAGTTTAACTGCCTAATGAAGTGCTTCTCATTATTGCCCCTCAACTCCTCTTTGTTTCATCTGGCAATATTACAAGTTTTGATATTTTCAGTCCCGCTCTCACCAGTAGTAATTCATTAGATTTTGATAGCATTTTTGTTTTAAATTTGTTGTCCCTTAAGTTGTATACTTTCTTTCACTTATGTTTTGACAACTTTTTTAAAAATATATAGTAAGAGTGGTCATTACGGTACAACCTGTACATTTCAATAATTGTAAACTTTTTATAAAGTTAACACATTAAGAAATATGATTTTTATAATATAAATAAATAAATGATTATGAAATGTTTTCTGCACGAAAAGATATTTTGGAATAAATTCAGTAGCACATGATTTTATCAAATTCTTATGCATTAAGTTTGAATTTATTTTACATAATTTATTATCTAATATTAAACTTCTTTCAGTTGCATGCAATTTATTCTTCAAAATAGTAAAAGCTTTATTGTTTATTGCAATATATTCAACATAAAATCAGACAGTAGAAAATTGAAATCGAAATTAATTAATCAACAAGGAAAAATATACTTATGAAGAAACAAATCATCATTTCCCTTTTCTTGTTTTCTTGAGACTTTAATTAAATCTTACTAATTTTCTAATAACTCACCTTAGAAAAGTTAACACCTGAAAAATAAAATACCAACCATTATTTCTAATTTAAGCTTTATTTACGACAATGAAAATACAAATTTTTCACACACTAATCTTTTATTACTATCATTGCTCGAAATTTATTTCGTAAAAAGTATTCAAAAATAACCAAATAAAGTAATAGGAAGTCGCAAAACTTGCTTTGTTCATGATTGCTTTATAACAACGATATATAACAACGATAGCACTATCATTCACATATTTTTAGTGTTGGTAACTTACAATTTGTTTGAAGATTTAGTTGCAATTGATTGTTTGTTTGTAGTTCGTTCACGTCGCACTAGAGCTGTACAATGGGCTATTAGTAACGGTGTGGGAAACATCCATGAGGATGATCCGAAGACATACCATCACAATTTTGATTCTCTGCAGTGGGGATGACACCTCCGCTTCGGTAGCCCGACGACTTGCCCTCAAAGTTGAGCACTTTACGGTAGAATAGTTTACCGAGGACCAATACCGCACACCTTCGGTCCCTAAGCAGACTGATCCAAGTGGTCACCCACCCGCACACTGACCGCAGCCAGTGATGCTTGACTTCAGTGATCTGCTGGGAACCGTGTCTTAACGATCAGTCCACTGCGGGACAATTTAAAATTTGAAAAATAGAAAAAGTGAATTCAGGCAAACCTAGAGTAATCTATGAAGTTTCAATTCCTGAAGAAAAAAATTTAAAATATCAAAATGTCAACAAATTATTGGAAGAGAACTTCTCGATTTTGTAATCCTAAGTTATTTTCTCATAATTGATTTTTGTTTTGATATTTAGAAGAAAAAAAATTTCAGTACTTGAATCACACGTTATCCATTCATCCTCAGATCGTAATTTTGACCTGAACCAACCAGAGAGTGATTAATATCCGATTAGTACCCCAGAGGTATTGATTTGTTATGGAAACTTAATGGACTTTGTGACCCCAATAGATTTATCATGCACCAAACACCATTTTGTCACGGGAAGTCTTCAACCGGTGAGGATCAAACTCACGACCTCTTGGACATGGACCAAACGCTTTACCAACTAGACTATCCCGGTTTATTATTTCGAGAACCGTGGTGGCTCGGGGAATAGAGCGTTCGCCTTCCAACGAGGTGAACAGGATTCGAATCCCAGCGATGGCTGATAGATACGAATTCCGCACCCGGCTCGCACCAACTACAGTGCTGAAGTAAAATATCCTCAGTAGTTGATGGATCACGGGTTAGACTCTCCTTGCCGTCAGACTTACAGAGTAAAATTTCCGAGTAAGATAAGCATTTATACTAATGACATTTTTCGTTCAATATGTGGCCAATTTGCTAAAAATACGTTTTCAAATAACCTTCATCTAAAGCAGCCTGCAATTATAGTAAACATTTTATTCAACATTTAGGAAAATTGGATAAAAATTTGGTAAGTTATCAGGCTTGTAACGAGCTAATCAAACTAAGGATATTTTTTATAACCGTCGTTGAACAGCCGACCCAATCTTTGGATTTACCACTATGTTCAACTCCATAGCCTTGTAATTTTGAACCCAATTCAGAAGACAAGGGAACTCCTGGATCGAGTATTGAGAGAAATTTGCCTTCGTGGAGGACTTTTTGATGGAGCTAACCCGCATTTGTGTTACATGGAGAGGAAGACCACGAGAACCTCCCACGGTTAGCTTGATGGCAAGGGGACTCTAACCCATGATCCATCTATCACTGAGGATATTTCATTTCAGCACTGTAGTTGGTGCAAGCTGGATGCGGAATTCGTATCGACTGGGATTTGAACCCGGTTTACCTCATTGGAAGGCGAACGCTCTATCCCCTGAGCCATCGCGGCTCAACTAAGGATATTTGAACGAGAGAAAAAACATTGTATTCTGAAATTTTTAATTTTTTCATTTTAAATATTTTTCATGAATTTGGCACCCCTCTAAGATTGTGCCCAGAGACAGATATTCCTCTTGCCCCCCTTTAGCTAAGCCATTGAATTAAATGCGCTGTTTCATTCATATAAAACATTATATTCATGCGAAAAATTACTTAGGAAAAATAAAATGCTATGAGTTTATTTTAATAAATGAGTGATAGCATATTTAAAGTTTTACATATTTGTTCGTTTTTGACTTAAATATAAAAATTACGTTTGCACTGATAAATTAAAAGGCTCAAACATCAACATATTTCTTTTTGTTTCTTTAATAACGTTTCCGATTCGTTTTAAAAGTTACATCTTTTTACAAAACCAAAAAGTTCTAAATCTATTAGAATGCGTCCAATACACTCTAAATCCATCCAATAGCGTTTCCGATTCGTTTTAAAAGTTACACTTTTTATAACATCAGAAAGATCTAAATCCAATAGAATGCGTCCAATACACTCTAAATCCATCCAATAGCGTTTCCGATTCGTTTCAAAAGTTACACTTTTTATAACATCAGAAAGATCTAAATCCAATAGAATGTGTCCAATACACTCTAAATCCATCCAATAGCGTTTCGGATTCGTTTCAAAAGTTACACTTTTTATAACATCTGAAGGATCTAAATCCAATAGAGTGATGAGTTGAAATAAAATTGATATTGCAGGTTAATTTTTTTTTGCCTTATTTGATGCAAGTGAAGACATTTTATTTATTTTTTCCCCCAGCAAAACTTGTCCTTCGGAGACATTAAAGCATACTATATTTTATTAAATGCTGTATTAAACTAATAAATGTTAATAAAATCATTTTTCAATAGTTTTTCTCTAACAAGCCTTAAAATTTATATATAGTTCTAAAAAAAGCATTCATCGCTTACCTTGAATTCCACCAAAAACTTCAAATTCCACTTGTACCAATACTGGACCCTTTGTTGAAGTCATTTTAGTTGAATGGTTAACTTCCTTCTAATTAAAAACAAAGGATGAAAGAGAAAGGGGCAACAGTCGGCATTGTTAAAAATAAAACAGATGAATTCGCGATCTCGTCTCACAATAAAATTTAGGTCACGATCCCACTCTAAGAAATAATTCTTTTGTTTTGATTCAGTTGACTCCACTTAATTAAAATGCACGTGCCTCCCCTTTTATAATATTTCAATACCTAAAAAAAATTAAACTAATTTTTTTTTAAATCCTATAATAGATATATTTTTTATTTAATGAAAATTAATTAATTTTTCATAGAAATAATTTTATGATTAATCATTTTTATGTAAGGGCAGTTTGGGAAAATTTTCTCCTCCTCCCAAAAAATATTTAAAGTTATTTCCATTTTTACATTCCAATAAAAGCTATTTTCTATTTAGAGAAAAATTAGGAATTTTGGATGATTTATTAATAATTTAACTAGATAATTCTATGATTGTCACTTATATGTAAGTGGTATTTTAAAAAAAACTATTTAATAATTTTTTTTAACAAATAATTATGATTATTTTGCACATCAGCTTCAATGCAACAAAATTTAAGTATTATTGTTGCTTAGAATTGTAGTTGGTAGTTATTAAAATTATTTTACGCATAATATTACTATTCTTAATTTTTTAATAACAATCTGTAATAATTTTTAAAGAAATTTTTTCTTATTGTCAAATATTTTTCAGTATGGTTTTAATGTTTTTGTTCCAAAGCAGCAAAAACTTACATCATGTTTTGAATTCGAAATTTAGGCTCTAACTTGTTTCAATCATAAATTTTCTCAGTGAAATTTGATCGACACGAGCTATGTTTAATATCCTTATAATTTTTATTATCCTCAGCCTTAGACGGATCTTGGGTTAGAGTCCCTTGGCTGTAAGGCTAACCGTGGGAAGTTTTCATGGTTTTCCTCTCCATGTAACGCAAATGCGGGTTAGTTCCATCAAAAAGTGCTCCACGAAGGCACATTCCTCCCAAAACTTGATCCAAGGGTTCCATTGTCTTCTGGATTGGGTTCAAAATTTCAAGGGTAGGGAGTTGAACATTAGTAGTCGTAAACCCAAAATTGAGTCGGTTGTTCAAAGACGATTATAAAATAGAATTAATAAGACTGATATGTAATCATACAATTTTAATGATTTTAGAAAATTAACATTTATTTTAAAAAAGAAACATGATTTGCCTGATTTGCACCAATTTTTAGCTACGGATTTGCACGTATTGGATTTGCACATGGTAAAAATATGAATTAACAAAAAAGTTTTTAGTAAACTTATTAATAATAATGTACAATTATTTCAATGATTTAATATAGAATTTAGTTGAGCATACATAGTTTTTTTTTTTATCAAATTTTGACAGAATTTGTCTATTTGTTGTTTTGGATAAATAAGTATTACTACATATTCTTTTAATACTATTCATTTGATTAAAAATGGTATTTAAGTAAATGTTTTTAAAAACATTAGAATTCCAGATGCAATTAGTCTATTTAAATCATTTCTTTTATGGTATAAATCCACAAAGCAGATATTTTCTTTTTTAATACATAAATCAAAAAATTAAAATTAATATTATCATCATGATTACGAAGCAAGATTAATTCCTCGGGGTAAAAACTATTTAACAAAAATGTATAATCATGAAAATTAGAGATAATCTAATCAATAAATCTAAAAACAAATTTAATATTAAGAGAATAATTTTTTTCATAATCGTGTAAAAATAAGGTAGCTAAGAGAGATGAAAAATTAGATCCTTGCTGTATTCCATTAGATTGAATAAAAAAAATTTTTTCATTGTAAAGATATCTATTAAAAAATATAATTAATTAAAATAAACGCAATCATCAGATCTTTTTTAATTGCGTTAATTCGTGAAAAAAAATCCGAGAACACTATCAAAAGTATTACACGCTGTTTAACTTTATCATAGCAGGTATAAAGTTTAAATAAAATCGGAAAGTCATAAAATCATGAAAAAAAGTCAGGAAATCATCAAAATAAAGGGGGAAGCGGAATTTTTTAAGGTCATGTAGCATTTTCTTCTGAATTTTTATTTTATTTTTTGACTCCTTGACATGTCTTAAACCTTTTCTTGCAGACGTTTTGAAACCTTTCCAACACCTGGAAAGGTATTCGTGATTTTACAACAACTTATACCATTGTTTGCTACGATGGATTAAAATTTAAGCACATTTATTTCTTTGCAGCTAAAAAACTCCACAAGGTCAATTCTAAAACCTGATACATACTAAAAATATGCAATTATGAACTATAAGAATGATTAATATGACCATATTGCGGTTCCCCCTCCATTTGTTGAAAGTCGAAAAAATTTATGATTATTTAGAGAAAGTTTTTGTGTTTGATTTAAAATATTAACTATACTAATTAATTATCATGTTTAAGTTTAGGACCTCAAACAATTACGATTGGGTCCTAGTATGTAAAAATCCATTCAAAAAATATTCGGGTTTTTTTTCCCCGCACAGCATATTATTCGCAGTATACAGGGTGGTATTTTATCTTATTTTATAACCAGCTTAAAAAAAAGTCTACTCATTTTCGGGTTTATGATTACCAATGTTCTAGTCTGTAGCCTTGTACTTTTAAGCCAGTCCCAGTAGACAAGGGAACTTATGGATACAGCATTGGGACAAACTTGGACTTTTCGATGGAACTAACCCACCTTTTCGGTACATAGAAAGGAAAACCTCTAAAACTTTCCATGGCAAGCTTAAAAGCAAGGGGACGCAAGGTGAAATTGTAGCTTAAAACTAAGAAATAAAAAATATATTCTTTTTTTTTTTTTCAGATTCAGTAATCCCCTAATCAGTCGATTGAAAGTTTCTTCAGATTAAGTACAGTTTTGTGTCTAATTTCGTGACTTGATATATCGTCTACTCTAGGTAGTGAGAATATTCTAGTGAGTTTACTTCTCAAAATATTAAGACTGATTTACGTTAGTGCGCAAAAATCCTATTATTAGATAAAAAGTCATTCAGCTATTCTGTTTTTATATTTTGCACCCAGTACTACAAAATGAAGAAATAAAAAAAAAATTATGTTTTTGCATTACTGATTAATGTTAGATAATGCATCAATTTTAAAAAAATATTTTATACTCTTCGATATCTAGCAAAAACGTGCGCGTTTAAAGAAAAGATATGAGATAGGTTCGAAAATATGCACAAAAAAGTAAGCATAAATTATTTTTATTTTAATAAACTTATAAACAGACATTCAAAGATAAATCACATGTAAAATGTATTTGCTCAGCAAACTTTACAATACATAATATTTCTTTGTTCTAATAACCATAAATGTATCAATATAGTTAAAACACATATGAAGATATTATAGTAAAAATGTATATAATTTCAAAAAGAAATTATAAAAATATGAAAAGTATAGTAAATGTAAATATATGAATACTCGCTTCCACAAAGATACCTGAAAAAAGAATAGATAAGCATAAATGATCAAATTTATACTAGGTGTGTCATAATGATCACCCTTAATGTTTATTTTAATAATCCAAGTCAAATATGAAATTAAAATAGTACAAATATTAAGGGTTACGAAGTAATATTTAAACTTGGAAGAAATCATCGAATCACTATAAAACAGTGCTTCCCAAACTTATGTCTTCTGTGTACCCTTTCTAAATTTTTCGTAACGCTGTGTACCACTAATAAAAAAATTTGCTCAAAAGTTAAAAATCACAACTGGCTGTTGACACCCTTAATGATTAACTATTAACTTTGCAAAAAATAGCCAATAGAAAAATATGTAATCCTAATTTTCATGGCTAACTTAAATAAAATTTTGTGAAATTTTCGTTTGTTGTAAGATATTTTGCATAAGAGCGCGTACCCCCGCTAAACTGTTCCCGTACCCCTGGGGGTGCGCGTACCACACTTTGGGAAACACTGCTATAAAAGATGGCGGGATGAAGAAATAGCAAAACCAGTTTAAAAGCTATATGAGAAAGTGATTCTAATAATCAGTTTTATCTTTTTGTTTTCTACAGAAATCAAGCAGGTTTTGACGATTTCAATCTATGCATCTTAACATTGAATTTCAAATTTAAGTCATAACAAAATTCGAAGTAAATTTATATTTTCGTTTAGGGTCAGGAATTAACACAAATAATTTAAAACGTTTTCTCTGAATGTATCAAAAATATTTCTCTCAAACAAAAAGAGACAATTTTTATAATCCATGCTGTTAACAGATCAGACTCTATGTAACTTGAAAACTTTTTTTAAAGTTTTTCAGGTGTTTAAAAAGAAAAATAAGAAAACAAAGTTTCATTGGTATGATAATATCTTGATAATATACTATCTAATATCAAGTATATCTTGTTGAGGATATACTTGGTAATATCCTCAACAAATGGCAACCCTATATAAGCTGTATTTTGAAAAAAAGATTTTTTAAAAAAGAAATGTCCAAATGAAGAGAGAATGTCCAACTCCAATGATCAAAACAGCGCTATAATTTTATCAGATTAAGTAAGTACTTTAATTTTTATCTATCCTCAAAGCAGTTTTTCAATCATTATTAACTATTTTTTAAGCTATGATTTTATAAACTATTTTTGCCATTTTCTTACACGTGAAACAGAGAATAGAACAAATCACGGAAAAATCGGGACAACGACGCCGATGGTTTTCCTCATAACTTTACTGTTTAACCCTTTCACACCGACTGTAATTAAATGCCAACTTGAAACGCTCTCATTTCTCGGCCGACACGCTGACGTGCCTGAGCTCTTTTTATTCACTCAAGACCGTCACATATTTGTCACATTCTGAACCTTTTAAAAGCTATAATTTTTGACATTGTATGTCCAGAGGAATTGAGAAACATATTGATTTGATCTTTATACAAAATGAGATACATGTGACTCAAACACACGTGGTTTTTGATTATATAAACATTAATGGAGAGAAATATTTCCGAATGGCATGATTAATGTCAACTCTTTAAAATGAGCACGAAGTATTTGTTTATAGTAAGTGGGAATTTTATTTTCACTGGAGCGTTGTTTATTTGGGTTTGCAGATTAAATTTCAATGGAATCTTGCAGACATTTTGATTTCAACATTACAATGTTGAAGTCATAAAACGGTTAAACAAGAAAAACCTAAGTAAATAATGTATTTAAATAATAAAAATACACCCCTATCTACTTTATAGAACGCTATTAAACAACGAGTACATATTTCGGTAATTTTATAGATTTAGGGTTAACAACAAAAACTCGTCTGGCCATGAGCAGGTCCTCGCGAAAAACACTCCAGACCTCAGCGATAAGCATACGTTTGCAATGTTGCTAATGTACCAAAAGTAAATGGTAAATGTTATTATAGAGTTAGATTTATTTAAATCGATATTGCTTAAGTTGTGAATTTAGCGCATATGGTTAAGTATTAGTAAAATTCAAAATTAGTTTGTTTTAATATTTTTCTTCCAATCTTTTAAAAAATATAGTTATATATATCACTTATGTATGAAGTATTTGCAATATTTGTTGTTAAGATACAGTAAAATTTTTCACAGCGTAAAGTCAAACCTAAAATATTTCCCTTACAACTTTTTTACAACTTCTTGCAGGAAAAAAAATGCATTTTACATATAATCTCTCTCATTTTTCTCTATAATTCAACTCATAACATTTCTCCAGAAATACAATTTTCAAAAATCAAGACTTCTGAAGAAAAAAAAAACAGTATCTTAAAATTTACATTAAAAATGCTCACTCACTTATTTTATTGAAAAGAAAAACTACTTTTGGCACATTATGATAATGTCACAAATAGGAACTTTTGCCATCTTTCGACGATATCTTTCTAACTTTTTCCGCTAGAAAAAATTCATTAATACCAACATTATTTAAAAGCAATATTTCAGTCGCAAATTTTAAAGAAAGCTGTATTCCAGATTCAATTTTACTTCAAGATATAATTTTGAGTTAATTTATTAAAGGAAATATCTTAATCATTATTTAAACAATAAATAGATATTAACAATAACAATTTTTCCTACAAAATTATTATAAATATACAGGGTGTTTACAAAGTCCCGGACCCATTTTGATGTTTAATAACTCATAAAATAATAAAGATAGATTAAAATTAATAACATAAATGGTTAGATAGACTCAAAAAGTTTCATGACCCTTGTCAATGAACTTCCATGTGTGAATCGCCATCAATCGTCGGTCTCATCAGTCGTATACTTAAACATGTTGGAAAACTTCGTATTTCCACAACTAGAAGAGCTTCAGCCACATGCCTTTTTGCAACAAGATGGTGCACCACCTCATTGGGGTATCATCGTTCGTAGTTCTTTGAATGACCATTTTCCAGGAAGATGGATTGGGCGAGGAGGTCCAATTCCTTGGCCACTCAGATCACCAACTTCAGAAGCTATCGTGTTTCAGCCTAATACTGAAGCACTTGTGCTAGTTTCTTTTTTTATTACCACGTTTATATTAACTTGCCTTCGTGCATGTTTGTTCGGGTGGAATTTTGTAATCGATTTTAAACTAACTTCGACTAGCTACAGACTTCAAATTTGGTACATAGTTCAGAATCGGATGACAATGCATGAAAATGAAGAGAAAGAAGACAAACAAAGTAAAATAAAATTATAATTGAAGAAGAATTAATAGTTTCGAGATTGCCTTTTGTTGTCGATTCGATTATTTCAAATTAGTGTCACATGTTAGTTGAAAAGTTTCGTGTACAGTGAGTGAAAAAATTTAGATTTTGGGGGTACAAAAAAAAATTAAAATAAAAAATAATACTTTTAAAAACTACGTTTTTGTAGTGGAGAATAATAATTAAAAAATAAAAACTTTGAAAACGGAAAACGTGGGGCGCATGAAATACATAACAGTACATCTACACATTTTCTTACTCATACACAGCCACATATACATCCACATACACATCCACATTCAGATACAATTACAATTACAGCTATACATACACATATTCTCATGAGCACACATACACACACTAATATAACATTACTGTTATGTATTTCATGCGCCCCACGTTCTTCGAATTTTTATTTTTTAATTATTATTCTTCACAACAAAAACGTGGTTTTCAAAAATATTTAATTTTGATTTTTTTTTATGAAATAAAGAACCATTCTTTTAAAAGGACACTAAGCTTAAATGGATTAAAGATTCAAGTGTATAATATGCTAACTAATTACAATAGAAAGAAACGTACTTTTCCTGAATAAGCGTAACATTTTTTTCTAAAAATTCGAATTTTCAATTTTCAAAATAAGAAGATTATCTGAAAAATATGGTCCTAATAGTTTAATCAAGATAGCAGTAGAGTCATTTAAAATTAAGATAAGATATTTGTTTGATTTTCTTTAGAACTAATGGAAATATATTATTGAAATTTGAATTGAACATTAACAGAAAGTAACCCCTTCAATATTTATGATACAGACGCATGATATTGCATTAACGCATTCCTCACTTTTTGAGTAATTGAAAATTATTTGCCTTAAAATGCAAATGCATACCTTTAATGCTGCTTTAGGTGACTCTTTTCCTTTGGAAACAGGTTCAGTAGTCAACTTGTCACAATCTAAAAAATTGAGAATAGACAACTATATTATTTATATAAAATATATTAATATACAAATATATAACTATTGTATATATTACAAAAAAAAACATAATGTTGAAATAAAAAATCTGTAAAAATGGCTCATTTTTATAATTTATTACATTAAAATTTTCTTATCGTTTTTGTTCTACTTAGTGCATTAATATGAAATTTACTTTCGGTTTTCCCTTTGGCAGCTGGATCACTGGTCAACTTGTTGCCATCTAAAAAAATTAAAAACAAATATATTAAAATATGAAATGCAATTACTTTGATACAAAAGTTTTATAATTTATTTTAGATTAAAAAACATTCTGTAAGTTTGAATTTGATGTAAAGGAGAAGGGGATAGGTGGGGACAGCTGGAATAAGTCTTATTTATTTGCCGAAATTTCCATAAAACTTCAGGAAAAAACTTGAATAAAAAAATGCCTTAATACATTTGATAATTTTAGTTTTTTTTAATTGTAATTGTTGATTACTAATGAATTTTTTTAACATCAATTGTAAAATGGGTTCTTCCGATATTCTTTTACATTTGGCTGATTACTATGGGTAATAAAAGATGAATTTCAGTTAATTAAAAATTTTCCACTAAATAAACATAAGAAAAAAACAGATTTCTAACATTGTAGTTTGTCTTAGAAACAGAATTTTATATAATTCGAAGGTAGTTTGGTTTTTAACTATACATATATAGCCTATTATTAACGTAAATATATTGCTTCGAATGTTTCTTTAACCCTTTACTGGGCCAATTTTTCCATTAATTGTATGTTAGAATATATTTTGGATTGAGATTGATTGATAAAAAAAATTCATTTAGCTTATTACCTACAGTTAATTTGATTGAGCCTTGGTGACTCAGAAGACAGAGCGCTCGCCTTCCAAAGAGGTAACAAGAGTTTGAATTCCAGCGATGGCTGGTCGAAACAAATTCCGCACCAGATTCGCACCGACCACAGTGCTGACATAAAATATCTTCAGTGGTAGACTGATCACGGATTAGAGTCTCCTTGTCGTCAGGCTAACCAAGGAAGGTTTTCATGGTTTTCCTATCCATATTACGCAAATGCGGGCTATTTCCATCAAAAAGTCCTCCACGAACGCAAATTTCTCCCAATACTTGGTCCAGTAGTTGCCTTGTCTTCGGGATTGGGTTCAAATTCCCAAGGCTAGGGTATTGTACATTAATAGTCGTAAACTCAGAATTTAGTCGGCAGTTCAATGACGCTTATAAAATAAAATAAATTTGATTTTTAAGACAATTTTTTGGAGAGAACAACTATGGGGAGTTTACAAAATTTTACCTATTGTAGAAAATTGGCCATAAACTTGCTATTCTGTGTTTATAAATAGCCGAATTCATAAATTATTTGTTTACAAATACACATAAACTCAAAGAGAAATGATCAAATGAACGAACTCATTACACACAATAGAAAATAACTCCACAGTGTCAGCCTCTCTTTTTGGCCCCACGTTAACCGTTACTGCTACCCACCTTCTTCTAAACAAAAACAAATTTGTCGATATTTTTTTTCTGTTTTTTGAAGTTACAATAGAATAGCACAAATCATAAGTGGGAAAATAGCTTCCTTTCTACAATTAAAAATTAATGAATTTCGTAATAAATGTACTTACCGTTGCCTTATAATGTCCTAAAAAGTATCATTGCCTTATAAAGGGAAAGAAGCTTTTACATTAAAATTAATTCCATTTTGACGCTATTTTCCTTTTTATAAGTCACAATATATTAAACATTCAATTTTGTTACTTGTTCGCATCAACACCCTCAAAAAATATAGTCACGATTTTGATTAAAAGTGCTTGAAGAGATAAGGACTTGATGCCTTCGTAAAAGTAAACTTTCAAATTTGAGACTCCCACTAAAACACTCCACTTTTGAGACGGTATATTTTACTTATTTGAGGTAGGAAAAAGGGGCTAGAAGCTGAAATATCTAGAAAATAAGGGTAAAATTCTAAGAAAAAAACCAGCAAAAACGATAATTTTAGTAATTTTCTTTTTTTCTTTTATCATTTTACCATTTACGGCAGCAAATCCCCTAAATCTTCTCCCTTGCTATAAATGTTCATGGTAGAGATTTTTTTACCCCTTTAGCCACTGATAAAAAAAATTAACATTTGAAATCCCCCTTACATCCAAGTCAACTCCGTGGCCAAACAATTATCGATAAATGATAAATATAGGAGAGGGGCACATTCAGATTCAAAAGGTACCATTTGACTACGAATTTTAAAAAAATTATTTTCTCTGTCCCGTTTATTATTCAAAAGGACAAAATAGGTCACAAATAAGGCAAATTTAGTATTTGGGATTTTTCTGACAAGCAGTTATCAATTTAGAGGCTGGGACATATATGTCCCGGCCGTACTTAATGGTGGGATACATATGTCCATAAATAATTTGTAAACATTTGTTGGGACAAATGAGTCCCGTTAGTAGCCAAAGGGTAAAATAAGACTCTGCAGGAGTGGTATCAGAGCTGATATTCATGTTGAGTACAGTTATTATAACTTTCTGATAATAGTTTATGATATAATGAAATAAGCTTTACCAAAATTCTTTGACAAAGTAGCATTTGGCGTTTCACTTGGCGCCTTAATAAAAGTTGCATTGATTGGCTTCTTTGTTGAAGTAATTGTTGGTCCCAGGTGAAAGTTCTCCTCATCAGGGAAATCTGAAAAAAAGAAATAAAAAAATTATATATTTACGTCGCTCTAGAGCTGCACAATGGGCTTTTGGCGATGATCCCCGAAGACATGTCATCGCAATTTTGATCCTTTGTTGGGGGATGACCACATTTTGAGCTATGTCTATTTTAATAAAAATGTATTTCGAACAGTGTCCAGATTTAAAAGCTCACCAACGAATTTTTATTCGTTGGTGGTTGGTAATTTGAAGTCGTTGGTGAGTTTTTAAATCTGGACACAGTTCAAAATGCATTTTTATTAAAATGAACGTAGCTCAAAATGCAGTTTTCGGAAATGGACAAAGCTCAAAATGCGAGTTAAAGAAAATGGATAAAGCTTAAAATACATATTTACGAAAACGGGCAAAGCTCGAAATGCGTGTTTACGAAAATGGACAAGCTCAAAATGCGTGTTTACGGAAACGGACAAAGCTCGAAATGTGTGTTTACAGAAACGGACAAAGCTCGAAATGCGTGTTTATGAAAATGGACAAACTGAAAATGCGTGTTTACGGAAAGGGACAAAGATCGAAATGCGTGTTTACGAAAATGGACAAGCTCAAAATGCGTGTTTACGGAAACGGACATAGCATTTGATTCAGTTTTTCAAACTTCTTTTATGAGTATTGTTCTTTTTTTCTTGTAAAAATAAGCGAAGGTATTCAAATCAATTCGTATTGTGATATCGCCCATTTGCATAAATAACTTGGGCACATTTATTAAATTATTCTTTTTTTGTTTGTAAAGAAAATAAATGTCAACAGATGTTTTTACAAGGTTGCCATGGGTACTATAAACTTATCATAGTGGTAGTATATTTTTACGTTGTTACATTAAAAACTCACTTTATCGCCTAGATTTCTAAATACAAAAACATTACCTGCTGAATAACATCTGTAATATACCAAGCCATCCCAAACCATGACATGGCCCCGAAATGATTATGCTTAGCGTTTTAAGTCACGCAATGGACTGATCGTAAGGACACGGTTCCCAGTAGAACGCCGATGTCAAGCATTACTGGCTGCGGTCAGTAAGCGGGTGGGTGACCACTTTAATCTACCTGCGTAGGGACCGAGGGTGCACAGGATAAGTCCTCGTTAAACTGTTCTACCGTAAAGTGCTAGACTTCGAGTGTAGGTCGTCGGGCTACCAAAGCTGGGAAGCGATTCCCTCTGAAGAGGATTAATATTGTGATCGCATGTCTTCGGATCATCCTTAGGGATGTTTCCCATACCGTCACCAATAGCCCATTGTACAGTTCTATTGCGACGTAAATAAAGTACCTACCAACTTCGTTTTTAAAAAACTTTCGTGATTTAAGTGAGGAAAAAGTAAGCACGGAATTCCTCGTATGGCTGTTAAATTTGGGATGAAAACTGAGAAGGCGCATTTTTTGGTTAGGTCCATTTTTGCAAACACGCATTTCGAGCTATTTTCATTTTTGCAAACACGCATTTTGAGCTTTGTCCATATTCGTAAACACGTAGTTTCCACTTTGACCATTTTTGTAAACACGCATTTCGAGCTTTGCTCATTTTTGTAAACTCATGTTTCGAGCTGTTCCAATTTCACAAGTACGCATTTTGAGCTACTACATCTAGTTGGCTGAAATTATCAATAAAAAAAACACATGGTGAACTAGAAAGTTAATAAAAATGACTTATTTTAATAATTTAATATCTTTATTGGATTACCTTTTTATTCTTATCGCTTTTGTCATATTTTGTTCTTTAACATGAAATTTTCCCCTGATTTGGATCACAATTTCTCGAGTTAGTCACAAAAATGTGTTTTTCCTTAATGTTTTTACATATTGGTAGAAAATATTACAAAATAAAATTATATTTTTTTAGTTATATTTCATCCTATAACAAAATATTTACCATAAATCTTTGGTTGGATCTGTATTTTTTTAATTGGGCTATTAATCAAGTCTGTAATTTTCTTTTTTGGTGACGATGTAGCTGTTGGTTCGAAAAATTTCCCGTCATCAGATAGATCTACAAAAAATAAATGTAAAAAACAAAGGTTATATCACATTCCTTTTCATCTTTTAAATGTACTTTAAATGTACATTTTATGCTCTCTAGAGTAACTGCCTTTTAATAATCTGTATTATTATATTAATTGTTCTGACATGAGCTAGAAAATAATACCAGAACTGACCAATTAATTCTTGTTTTATTAGAAAAACAAAACTTTAAAAACCAGTTTAATTTTTGAAAAAAAAAAGTTTGAAAAATTGCTTTTGTTTTGGATATGGAAACAAAAAGTGCTGCATTATCAAACGAATGGCAGATGTGTTCTGTCTCTGATAAAATGTAGCAGAAAATGAATGAAGTCAAACTCGTATGTAACAAAAACAATGGCACTGAGAAAATTCATTTGTTAAATCAGAGTACTTGTTAAACACAAATGGACCAAAATTATCAATGCAAATGCACAATATATGAGCTAGCAGATAATAAAATTTGTTTTTCCATCACAGGGGAGCAATACTCTGGTGTCCTAGACTAACTAGACATTGACATACCAGAGCCAATCCTTTTACAAGGATAACAGATTTGTTTTTACCGAATCTCAGTAAAACTCACCGGGAAAAAAAGCACAACCTTAGCAATTACTATCAATTAAGCGATCGATTTGATTCGCACCGTCAAACGCTAGTTTAATGCAATTAAATATAAAATAAAACACTGATAGAAAAAAAAAACAGAAAAAAAAGTTCCGGAAAAAATGATCACTATAACAGATATGTGAATTTAACGACCAAATCGACTCACACCGTACCGTTGAACATAAATTTGTGTAATTATATATTTATGCGAATGAAACAATATATTTTTGTAAGAATTATTTGGGGATACAAAGATTTTTTTTAGAATTATTGTAAATAGATTCTTGATTCACCCGAAAGCAGATGGGACCTCTATAAAACCCATGAAAAAGCTGTTCAGAGAATTAATCCTGTGACCCTATGGGTATTAGGGCCGGGATAGCCCGGTCGGTAGGGCGCTGGGCCCATGTCCGAGAGTTCCTGGGTTCGAACCCCGCCGACCGAAGACTCCAAGTGTAGTAAAGTGCACGTTAAATCCGCCGAGTCTCAAAAGTCATCCATGTTCCCATAACAAATCAATACCTCTGGGTGATACTGGATTGGAGATCGATCGTTCTCTGATTCAGGTCAAAATTACAATCTGTGGATGAATGAATGAATTGGTCCGCCCTACAAACTGGTGCGACGTATGGTGTGGCAGAAATCGAATTCTTGGCCATAGATGGCGCCACTGGAAAACAAGAACAATCACACCCCCTCTGCCTAAACAGGCATACGTCAACAACAGTCAAACGCGTCAATCAGAAATATAATTCGTGCTATCTTTTATGATATATGTCAGAATTATTCAAAAAGGTTATAGTTTCTTAGCTTCACTGGAATCCTATACTTAACGACATATTTCGATAAATAAGGAGAACATTTGTTCTTGGAAAAGAAACAACTATATGACGTTGCAAGAATATTGGATTTGATTGTACCACTAAAAATGGTGCTTCTTGTGATGACATGCTCTTAACAAATTAAATTCGAGATAAAGAGTTTATGCTTTTGTTTGGCTGTAGAAAAAAATAGTTTGCAAGAAACAATATTTATTATTCTTTACATCAGTTTCTTTAAATGCGAACAGAAAGACGTATATTTGCTATAATTTTTAAATACCATTTTTATTACTTGTTTATTGATTATTGTTGGTTATAAGAACCAACTATCGACTCTGATTTGACCTTTTCTGTCATTGTTTGAGCAATTTAAATCGTCTTGTCTTTCTAGATGTAATTTTGAGCACTTCACTGCATTTTCAGCTTCATTGTAATTAGTTTTTCCGATGTAGTAACTAGATCTTGGGGCAGTTTGTATCTGTTTTAAAGTAAACAGCTTAAAGTTAACCATCTTTGTTCTACTTCTGGGGACAAAAGATTTTCAGATTTAATTTCAGAAATTGGCCCCAGAAGTAAGGAAGTGAATAATTGCGAAAACAGATGCTTTTATGGCCTAAGAAAATTTCTGAATTCAACATTAAACGGAACACCAATTTGCTGATACATAAAAGTTTAATCCAAACAGTTCTCACGCATGCATCTGAAACGTGAACTTTGCCCTAGGCTGATGAGAGAACTCTCACAATTTTTGAGAGGAAAATTCTCTGATCCATTTTTGGTGACTTTTGTGATAACGGAGTTTGGAAAACTAATTCTGAACTTTACGCAGAGAATTGAACTTTACGCAGAGAATTACGCAGAGAATTGAACTTTACGCAGAGAATTACGCAGAGAATTGAACTTGAGAGAACGCAGAGAATTCAGAATTTGTTTGGAAAACTAATTCTGAACTCTATCCAGAGAATCGGACATTCTGAGATATCATAAGGCTCAACGTATGAAATGGGCTGGACACATTAAGATTTAACTATTTTACATTTTTAAACGCGGCTTTCAATAAAATTTAAAAAATTTACTGATGATTTTAATTGTTTCAATAGGTTGTTCTAAGAATACATAATTCGCAATTTTGCTTCGTCTATATTTGGACTTGAAGGATAACACATTTTCCTTTTAAATATAATAATTCCTAAAATACACGGAAAAATTGAGGAGAGTTTTATTTCTATAAGTATATTTTTTCCGTCGTAATAAAATAAGAATCAACAGAATCTGCAGGCAATGTTAAAAATGCTGTTTCAGAATTTTTTTTTCTCCTACCCCCTCCAAATTTTACTGATTTACTATGAGTATATAATATAAAAATAAAAAATATATAAAAAAAACTACTTAGAAGCGAAACCAAGAAATATATGAAAAAAGATGATCAAAGAAATTTTGTAAGCTTTCACGTTTAAACTCTCGTTCTTTGGAGAAAAATAGTTATAAACTAGAACACGTACTACTTTTAATGTAGAACTAACAATAAAGCTAATTTACTGTAAATCATGTTTAATAGATAATAAAACAGGTATTTAAAAATTAAACCAAAAGTATTTCTATCAAAATTTTAAAAAAATGGAGAAATTTGTAAGTAGCCAGGGATCAACTGGGAGAGAAAGAACCCAGTCGAGCACTCGAATAAGGACCGTTAAAAATGAATTATATTCGATTTCATAGATACTTTCTAAACAAGAACTGTTCTAGAATTTGTTAATCAGTAATTTGATTCACATGAGTTCTACACAAGTTAAATGAGCTGTCTAAAATATTTACTTAACTATTATATTTAACTGTTACAATTTTTTTAAAAAAACCTTAAAAACATTTAACATACATTTTTTAAGCAATCATTCTGATTGTTTTTAAAATTGATAAGTTCTGAAAAGCATTAAGTTTTTCTTTTAAAAAAAAGAAAAAAACAGTGAGGTATTTAAAAAGAAAAACTATAGACAAAGTTTGTCTTTTTAAACCTCTTGAAACATCATTAGTACAAAATGAAACAGAACGTACCTTCAGCACCTTGCAAAGTTTCCTCCTCATTTACAAATTCTGAGTTGTGTTCAAGATTCTCATTGGTCAATCTATTTAAATCAACTTTCTCAATTTCCCGTCTCAATGTGTCCGATTCATCATACACATTCAAAACATTAGTATACTCCTACGAATTAAATATTTCATGGTATCAAAATAATAATTAATGCATTAATTCCAGAACGTAATCACGCTTCTACTCATAATGCTACAATACAATATCTGTAATTGAACACATAATTAATCTCCTCTCTAACTAGAAGATCTTTTTGGTTCACATTTGTTTTTGTCTAATCTAACTAACTTCATTTTTAGGGCTGAAGCAAGCTTAAAATATAAGTTGGAAATTTATTATACACAAATAATAGCACTAAGAGAAAGTTGTATTATTTGTGCATAGTAAATTTATAGGTTGGATGCAGCTCAAAATGCGCGTTTAAGATAATAGACACAGCTCAAATTACGTGTTTATGAAGTAGACACAGCTCAAATTACGCGCTTATGAAGTAGACACAGCTCAAATTACGTGCTTATGAAGTAGACACAGCTCAAATTGCTTGCTTCTGAAGTAGACAGCTCAAATTACGTGTTTATGAAGTAGACACAGCTCAAATTACGTGTTTAAGAAAATAGACATAACTATTTAAGAAAAAGGACATAGCATTTGATTCCATTTTCCAAACTTCTTTTACGAAAATTGTTCGTTTTCTGAAGAATAAACTATTGAATCGAAATAAATTCGCAGCATGATATCGTCCACTTTTCTAAACCACTTAGTGCATTTCGTTTCAATTAATCCGTTTTTAAAGACATCATTAGTCAACAGTTACTTATGCAATTTTTTATCGGATGCTGCAAATTTATAATAGGGAGATTAAATTTACATTTTACGAATTTAGATTTTTCAAAACTACTTTGATCGTTTAAAGTTCAGAATACAAAGAAACTACGTAATGAGTTATATCTCCAATGTCAACAGCCACCCCGACCCCTAAGTCCAGGACTTTACCAGTAAATACGAAAGTAAGTACGAAATTTCTCATTTAGTTGAATAATTTGAGTTGAATATTAAAAAGGAGCATTTTTTGCTGTCTTTCTTTTCTTTTTTTTTTTTAAAAAAAAACACGCATTTTGAGCAGTGTCCATTTTCTTTTCTTTTTTCGTTCGCGCATTTTGAGCAGTGTCCATTTTCTTTTCTTTTTTCGTTCGCGCATTTTGAGCCATTTTCTAAAACGCACATTTTGAGCCTAGTTCTTCTTTTTCAACCGCATCTTGAGCTGCTTTCCATTTTCTTAAACATGAATTTTGAGCCTTGTCTATTTTCTTAAGCACGAGTTTCGAGTGGTGTTCGTTTTCTCAAACACGTATTTTGAGCTGCGCCTTTTTTTCTTAACACGTTCACGCCGGGAAAAGTGAAAATACTGGTGCAGGAAAAGAGAAAATACTGGTAGAAGAACTATTTCAATATTACACTGGTTATCATAAATTAAGGAAAAATCACAAAAATAGCGATAACTCTTTCAAAAGTAAGCCAAACCGTGCAAAATTTGCATATGTTGTCCACTAAGAGTAGCTGAGTAAAATTGCAATATGCAAATTAGTGGCGCTGCACTCGGCTTACGTCATCTGCCTGGAGCATAAAAGTCCAAGTTTGAGAGAAAGCACACAAATTTTACTGTGATTGCGACATTGAAAATCTGAGATAGCCAATTCGTAATAATGACCTCTAGGCATCATTTGCCTGAAGAACTACGATGGAGAGCCATCGGGAGACTAGAGGCAGGGCAGAGTCAATCAGAAGTGGCCAGATGGCTAAATGTGAGTCCATCTGTGGTTCATAGACTTTGGAGGCAATTTCAAACCACAGATTCGGCATCTAGGAGGTTCAGTCAAGGACGGCCAACTGTTACGACCAGTGCCGATGACCGATATTTGACATTAAGTGCACGCAGGAATAGAACCGCTACTCCGACACATCTTAGATCCTCTCTTGCTGCAGCCACCGGAAGGTTGGTGTCAACGTCAACTGTGCGCAGAAGGCTCCACGAAGGTGGTCTGTATGCGAGACGACCAGCCATTTGCGTGCCGCTCACATCACGCCATAGGAGAGACCGTTTGCAGTGGGCCCGACAACATGTCCACTGGACGTCAGATCAATGGAGGCCTGTTCTCTTTACGGATGAGTCCAGGTTTAGTCTAGAAAGTGACAGTAGACGTTATTTGATATGGAGAGAACCTGGGACCCGTTATCATCCATCAAACATCCGTGAAAGAGATGCATACGGAAGAGGCAGTGTCTGTGTTTGGGGAGGCATATCCTTAGGAGGGCGCACATACCTCCATGTCTTTCCAAGGGGAACCGTGAATGCTCAGGTTTATCGAGACAACATCCTTGATGCTTATGTGCGCCCATATGCCGGGGCAATTGGTGATTGCTTCCTGTTACAGGACGATAATGCAAGACCACACAGAGCTCGCATTGTTGATGATTATCTTCAACAGGAAACAATTACTCGCATGGAGTGGCCAGCTCGATCCCCGGACTTGAATCCTATCGAGCACGTTTGGGATGCTCTAGGGAGGCGTGTATCTGCCATCAATCCGCCCCCTCAGACCCTTGCCACGCTTGCAACTGCTTTACAAGAGCAATGGCTCTCACTTCCTATTGAACTGATAGACCGCATAATTGAAAGCATCACACATCGCTGTTTGTGCTGTATTGCTTCTAGAGGCAATCATATTCCATATTAAAGGTACTTTTTCTATTGCAAACCGATACTTCCAATTTGTTTATTTTATACATGTGCTAATTTCTATACTACTATTAATGTCTGATAATTTCTTTTTATGTTGTTTAATACCTTACTATGTGTTGTATATTGTGGGTAAGTTTCATAAAATTCCATGTGTAATTTCTTGAGTTATCGCGATTTTTGTGAATTTTCCTTAATTTATGATAACCAGTGTAGTTAATATTCGGGAGGAGTTAATCTATTCTCAACAATAACAATTCACTGTAAGGAAATTTATCACGGCGAAGAAGCAATTCAATATAAAAATTGCATCCGTTAAAAACAATTGGTAGTTATGGATTTTTATTATTCCCGGAAAAAAACCAAAAAAGAAAATTTATTGTTACCAGTTTTTACTCCGGTGAGCTGACAAGATGAGGCAATCTGGCTTGGCCCACCGGTGGGTCACCCCTGCGTGAACGTGTTAAGCACGTATTTCGAGTTGTGTCCAGAATAAAGAGCTCAACGACGAGATAGATATACCAATAACAAAGAAATAATCAAAGAAGGATTATCCAGATGAAGGTAAGGTATACTTTGCGCTATATATGAATAAAGCAAAACGTGAATGAAACACAAATCATAGCGCAAAAATGGACACACCATAGTTTCGGAATTGTAAAAAAGAACACTCCATGTCTATAGACAAAATACTCTAAGTGCTATTTGAAACTAAGCTTCGACTCCAATTCTACGTTTCTTGTTTATAGAACCAAAACTATAGTGTGTCCATTTTTGTGCATTATTTGTGTTTTATTCACGTTATTTATGTCATTGAATAAAAGATCATTCAGCTAAAACATTCATTTGATTTTATTTCAATGTTATAAATGTTAACTTCGTAAGAGACTATTTTAATATTTGCTAATTTATAGCTATGAGCTCGAATATTGATAATTCATGATTTATTTGTAATGAATTTTGAAATAAATATCGCCCTTATGATGTTGAATCTAGTTCTATAAGTTTAAAAACAGTCGCAAGAAGCTAAGCCAGGGCAAAGTAATTTGAAAGACCCTTTAAATATTCGCCTTCTGCGTGTTTTAAAATAGCAAGAATCCCATTTTTGTATTTTGATATACTCTGAGGAAGCACTTCTATATCTTTTCTCACCGGTCCTGAATAGGTTAAAGAGATAAAACTGATGAATTGACCTGAATAGGTTAAAGAGATGTTTTAAAATAGCAAGAATCCCAATTTCATATTTTGATACACTCTGAGGAAGCGCTTCTTTATCTTTCTTCACCAGTCCTGAATAGGTTAAAGAGATAAAACTGATAAATTAACCTGAATCGGTCAAAGAGATGTTTTAAAATAGCAAGAATCCCAATTCATATTTTGATACACTCTGAGGAAGCGCTTCTTTATCTTTCCTCACCAGTCCTGAATAGGTTAAAGAGATAAAACTGATAAATTAACCTGAATCGGTTAAAGAGATGTTTTAAAATAGCAAGAATCCCAATTTCATATTTTGATACACTCTGAGGAAGCGCTTCTGTATCTTTCCTCACCAGTCCTGAATAGGTTAAAGAGATAAAACTGATAAATTAACCTGAATCGGTTAAAGAGATGATTTAAAATAGCAAGAATCCCAATTTTATATTTTGATATACTCTGCGGAAGCACTTCTTCACCATTCATGAATAGGTTAAGGAGATAAAACTCAAACACTGGTAAACAAATACATTACATATTATAAATGTATGCCTAGTTAATAAATAGAAAATTGAAACCTCCGGTATAATCAGCTTTTGTAGTTCTTCCAAAGTTTTAGGTTTGCTCGGTAGTTTTGACCAATCAATGTTGTTCCCCCGATGCTTGTGATTGTTTTTTTGCTCCCCAACTTCTACATTCTTGTAATGGCCAACTTTTCCTTGAAGTATACCATTCCAGTTTTCCTTATTTAGATTAGCAAAGATATCAATATCATTATTCTGAAAAACAAAATAAGCGAATCTTATCAAATATCATTTTATTAAATAGTAAAATAAAGTCAACATTTACTAAGCTAAACAGAAAACTGAGTTAAATGCTGTTATAAATCAGGAAATGAAAAAAAAAGTCTTTTGAAAGGAAAGGCCCAAAAATAACAGTAATATGTTATTTCATACACAAATGTATACTTTATCTGAATAAAACCTTTTCATTAAGAGTTATTACTTTAAATTTCTCTGTAAAATTATGCAATCATTTTACAGAGATAAGTAAATGTATCAAAACTTAAATTCAGCAATTATTAAAAAATTGGGACGAATGCTACATATATTGGGACGAATGCTTTGGTGGATGTTCTCTTTTTCTGGGATGAGAACGGTGCAGTGTAGGTTTATGGTAACTGAATTCAAAATAAAATAATTAAGAAAGTAACCAGTTTAACAAGTTTAAACGGAATTTTAACTTCAAGGAGTTTTTGAACCAGTTAAAGGGACAAAATATGTTTATTATTTGTAACTACAATATTAGAAATGGGTTGTGCTTTATGCTCTAATTTTTTTCTCTTTCAGACTTCATTATCCCTGCGTTCATGCAAGCCATTGAAAGTTATACAAATACAGCTGCTTATACGTATATTTTAAAATGAATATACGAAACGGCATATACTTTTTAAAGCTGCTTATTCAATCAAAATATAATCAGTTTGCTTTAAACACACATTTTCCAACGAGATTTTAAACTATAAATACCTGCTTTTAAGAAATTTTGATATTTAAAATCAATACAATCCAATATGGAATTTTCTAGACTGTCTTCCTTTTCATACTCTTTAGCCAGTAAAAATTGTTCTAAATGATAAAAAATGAGTTACTAGTTGGTGAAAGATCCGCTTAATAAGTTGGGTGCTGCAAAATTTCATCGAAAAATTACTCTTGATGAAATCAGGTTAGTAATTATTAGAGCCCGGATTTTGATGACCTAAAAATTCTCAATTAATGCCCTTAAAAAGTGCAAAAAATGCCCTTAAAAGTGCAAAAAATGCCCTTAAAATGCGAAAATTGCGCTAAAAATGCCTTATGACATGACTTAAATAGAAGTGAAAATAGTGAACTAAAACAATGTTTTACTTAAAAAATTTAAAAAATGCTTTAAAATGCTAAATACGCCCCAAAATTTTAAAGAAAATGCCCTATAAATCTCAAAAAATGCTCTAAAGGACAAAGAATGTCCAAAAATGCAAAAAATGCAAAAAAAATGCAAATGTCATCAAAATCCGGGCCTTAGTAATTATAGACCAACGGTCAACCGATATAGCTTGTTTCATTCGGTAATTTCATGCAATAATCCATTATTTTCATCTCACCAACTTCCGGAATATGCCGTAATATTGTAGCAAAATCAACTTTCATTCTGGTAGTAAGAGCTTCCTAGTAGATATTCATTTTTGATCTTCCACGTGGTTCATTTTGTTTTAAAGACCAACAGTTTTCAAACCAACATTGATCGATCTTTAGCAGTATTCTCCCTAAACGCCTGGTTTTTATTTGTAGAATTATTACTAAGTTTATACTCATATAAAAAATTTACGCGAATCATATCCTTACGAAATCTGAAACGAATAAAATGGAACACTTTTGAGAAAATATTCTTTGTTGAAATGTAACTCTGACAATGGACAGTACGACTATAAATGAGATTTTGCCAAAAGCAAAACGAAAATAGAGAAACAAACGCTCACATGTAAAGAAACTCAAACATTATATATGCAACAATCTAATTCTTATTATTAGTGAATTTCAAGTTTGAGTAAAGGGTTTTTCACAAAAAAAAAATTACGAATAATAATTACAGATTAATAATTTAATTAGAAACAGATGCATTTAAATTATATGTATCTTTAATTTTAAAAAATAAATTAAACCGATATATTTCTTAAAAGGGGAAGGGATTTTCAGAAGTAATTGAATAAACTGATTTTTTTTCTTTTCTTTTTAAGCAAGAATTACTTCTTGGCACTGAAAATAACCTCTTTAATTGCTTATTGCAGCATTTCTTATGTCATTAAGGATGATAAGGAGGCCTTTTATGACACTCTCCTCTGCTTGGTATTTTTTTAAAATAAAAACTTGATACTTGACTTTTTTTCAACTCAGATAATAAATTTTAAAAGAAATACAAGCTTGTATTAGAATGTGGACCAACTACCATCAAGGGGAAAATCCTCAGAGAGTAATTTGTTAAAGGTCTCTAGATTATAAATTAGCTAAAAGGAATTCATATACACCGAAGAGCCATTACATTATGACTTATGGGTCCTAATGTGCCCCATGAAAACCTGGGCGAGTTCATTGTTATAGATGGAGGGTGGTCATAATGTAATGTCTCTTCGGTGTATATTTGTTGGTTTTTATCCACACTCTGAAATTTTTCGTTCCCCATAAACATTAAAAAAATAATTTTTAAGGAAATAAAAATGACACTGAATAAAGTAGGAAACCATTTTACTGATGAAAAAGGTTGACTCACTTTAGCAGCTTCACCACCTCTATTAAATGGACTGGAACAACAATTAGCAAGTGCACGAGCTTTCCCTGCAAAAATACCAACATCGGGGATATTTTCTCCAGCAGATGTAAAAATACTTGTAGGAGTTGAAGGTTGTGAATCTAGATGAGATCCAAAAGAATATAAAGTATACTTTGTGTTAAGTATAAATAAAGCAAAACGACGTGAATAAAGTATAAATAAAACAATGTGAATAAAGTAAAAATAGAGCAAAACAACGTGGATAGAGTATAAATGAAGCAAAACAACGTGGATAGAGTATAAATGAAGCAAAGCAACGCGAATAAAGTATAAAGGTTGAAAAGCAACATGAATTAAGTAAAAAAGTAGAAAAACAACAAGAATGCAATATAAAGGTAGAAAAACAACAGGAATAAAATATAAAGGTAGAAAAACAACAGGAATAAAATATTAAAGTAGAAAAACAACAGGAATAAAATATAAAGGTAGAAAAACAACAGGAATTAAATATTAAAGTAGAAAAACAACAGGAATAAAATATAAAGGTAGAAAAACAACAGGAATAAAATATAAAGGTAGAAAAACAACAGGAATAAAATATAAAGGTAGAAAAACAACAGGAATAAAATATAAAGGTAGAAAAACAGCAAGAATAAAGTATAAAGGTAGAAAAACAACGTAAATGAAATATAAAGGTAGAAAAACAGCAAGAATAAAGTATAAAGGTAGAAAAACAACGTAAATGAAATATAAAGGTAGAAAAACATGAATAAAGTATAAATGAAACCTGAATAAAGTATAAATAAAGCAAAACAACGTGAATAAAGCATAAATAAGGCAAAACAACGTGGATAGAGTACAAAACATTTTCTAAAAATTAACATGTAGTTTCGATTCTACCTGCCTGTGATAATTACGGAAGAATGAATGCTTAGTATTTTATTTACTAATTAAAAATTTTGATTTAAGTTATAATTTTTAAAAAATAAAATAGCTTTAAATCTCAAATCTTAAAGAATTTTTATTATTCATATTTTTAATTTTTTTCTTTTAAAACTAAAGGGAGGTTAAAGGTTTTGCAAGCTATCTTCAAATCGGGTAAAGTGCTATGGTATCAGATATAAGACTAATTATTTCAAAAAATTAACAAGTACCTGATTCAATTGCGGAATCATCTGAAGAAAAAGTATCCCACTCTTCACTTTCTTTAGCTGAAAGTTAAAAATCCACAGTTTTAAAAAATAACATAATGTATCAAAAGAATACATAGTGTATGCATACGTAATACTACGTGTGTAATAAAAAATAATTTTAAAAATAATGTAAAATTTGAAGTTCAGCTATATACTGAGTGGCCAAATTATTATGACCTCCTGACAGTTTTATACAAAATGAGCTATTGCATCACAGTTGTGCCGCTAGAGGGCGAGATAGCTACAAAAAAGGAATGCTAGACAAATGAACCATCTATTGCACTTTGTTACGCGCGGGTATGTGGGCAAAAAAAAAAACGAGACTTAACTGAGTTTGAATGCGAGATGATTGTAGGAGCTCGAAGAGGTGGAACCAATATCAACAAAACGGCTGATCTTGTTCGAGAGCAGCAGTTATTAATGTATGCAGAGGGTGGACTACCAAGCAGAAAACCGGGTCTCAACATCAAGCTTGTGCTCATTACAGGCTGAATTTTCAAGCTAAAAAGAGACTTGTCAGAGTTGTCCAGTTCAACAGAAGAGCAACAGTACGTCAAATAGCGGGGAATCTTAATGAATGTGCAACTGCGAACGTCTCTGAACGAACTGTGAGCCCCACATTACGCCGTATACGCCAGGGATGGCGAACCAATGGAACGCGTGCCATAAATGGCACGTTATACAATATTCTGGGCACGCCACCGATCACAAATTTCTCTATGAAGCATATTAACAATTAAATTAAAATTCACAAAAAACAAATAAAAAAACAATTACCAAAAATTAACAATTAATGCCAAAACAACAATTAATAACTACAAAAAAACGAGCTAACAATAAATAACGAGTAAAAAAAAATAATAGTCCTGTTTAAACTAACATCTTACAACCTAATATAAGTTATTTAAAAAAAACAATTAATAACCATACAAAACAAGCTAATAATAAATAAAGAGCAAAAAACGAAAAAAATTAATGGTCCTGCTTAAACTAACATCTTACAACCTAATATAAGTTATTTGTCATCTAATCTGCAACAGCAGAAGTCACACTGATGTCACTTTAAGTTGAATTACGCGTATAACTGAGACATTGCCAAAAAAATTTTTTTTTCATAGTAAATAAAGAGTTTTGAGTTGATAGTATTTGGTATTATTTTTCCAATAGTCACATAGTCAAAATTATTTGACGGCACGTCTATGACCTCATTAAACAATTTCTTGAAAAATGGCACGTTGGTGCATAAAGGTTCGTCATCCCTGGTATAGGCTATAGGAGCCGACGACTTGTTTGAAAGCCTTTGCTGCCAGGCTTAAACAAGAGCTGACGACTCCAGTTTGCAAAGAAGCGTAAGGATTGGATAGTAGATGACTGGAAGAGTTAAACCATGCAGACCAGGCTTTCAATTACACCATGCAGATGCCAGGGTTCGGATATGGCAAAAATAGCTTTGCAGTAACACTTAAAGCTGGTGGAAGCTACGTTATGGGTCCTTTGATGCCTGTGAAACAACGCATGAAAGTCCAAGTATTAAGTATTATCGCAGATCAAGTACATCCTGTTTTGCTAATGCAGTACCTAGATTCTTACAGCATATGCAGATTATGTTCTTTTAAGTCTTGTTTTTAAAAAGCAAACGAGCAAATAGGGAGGAATTGCTGAAACTTTATTTAAAAACATCTTGATGCTTGTTTCTAATTAAACTTAAACTGAATTGAAAAAAAAAACACCGCAAAGATTTTAAAAAAAATTCTGTAACTTGGTTACAGATTAAAGAGTAACAGTTCCGTTTTTAGTATCATTTTGTAAAATTTAACTTAAATTTAAACAACATGAAGTTTTTATGTATAATTGACTTTTTTATGTGCTACTTTTGCAACATACATGTTAAATTACGCTGTTGAGGTGTAAAAAAAATTCTGCTGCCGTGGATTCAAATTGCGTTTTTTTCTGCTTAAGTATAAATCTGTACCCCCAAATGTGTATACATTTTTTAATTCATTCTTGAAACGTATTCTAAGAATTCATATTACGGGTCATTTTTATTAAAAAACATCGTGTATTTTACTCATTTATAATTTATCTTATTTAATGCTAGAAAAGTAATATAATGATTTAAAACTTCTCACCTCTAAAATAACCTTCTTCAATTGTAGCTTTTACCTTTAAGCAAGAAAAAAATATTAGCATAAACCATAAGCAGAAGAAAATAAAAAGCAAATTTAGAAGTAATAAAGTTTGAAACAATTCATTTTAAGATGAAGTTTAAGTTTCTATCTTAATAAAATGAAAGTAGTTGTTGTTAATTTACGTCGCACTAGAGCTGCACAATGGGCTATTGGCGACGGTCTGGGAAACATCTCTAAGGATGATCCGAAGACAAGCCATCACAATTTTGATCCTCTGCAGAGGGGATGGCACCCCCACTTCGGTAGCCCAACGACCTGCACGCGAAGTGGAGCACTTTACGATAGAACAGTTTGACGAGGGCCCATACCGCACACCCTCGGTCCCAACGCAAACTGATCCAAGTGGTCTCCCATCCGTACACTGACCGCAGCCAGTGATGCTTGACTTCGGTGATCTTCTGGGAACCGTGTCTTAACAATCACTTCGGGACAAATGAAAATAGTAACAACGTAGGTAAAATGAGACATCATTTTCAAATTCCAAAAATGCACATTGTTGGACAACTAGAGCACGTTAAATTCGTGGTCGAAATTTGTTGTCTACAGTTATTCTAAATATCCTGAATCATTTTTTTAAAATTAGGAATGAGAAATGAAGATAATAATTTTTAATAAGGTTTAAAGGTTTTTAATAATAAATAAAACTTGCATCCGAATCATTTTAAGATATAGTTGAGGTTCCTATCAACATAAAATGAACGTAGTAATAACGTCAGCAAATTGAGACATTTTCAAATTCCAAAAATTCGTCTACAGTTATTCTAAATATCCTGAATCATTTTCTTAAAATTAGGAATGAGAAAAGATAATAATTTTTAATAAGGCTAAAAGGTTTTTAATAATAAATAAAACTTGCATCCAAATCATTTTAAGATATAGTTGAGGTTTCTATCTACATAAAATAAACGCAGTAATAACGTCAGCAAATTGAGACATTTTCAAATTCCAAAAATTCGTCTACAGTTATTCTAAATATCCTGAATCATTTTTTTAAAATTAGGAATGAGAAAAGAAGATAAAACTTGTATCCAAATCATTTTAAGATAAAGTTTAGGTTTCTATCTAAATAAAACGAACGTAGTAATAACGTTAATTACTTGAGACATTTTCAAATTCCGAAAATTCGTCAACAGTTATTCTAAATATCCTGAATCATTTTTTTTAAAATTAGGAATGAGAAAAAAAGATTACATTTTATATTGAAAATTGATTAAATATTAAAATTATTTATCTTTAATAAGGTTAAAAGATTTTTAATAATACATAAAACTTGTATCCATATCATTTTAGGATGAAGTTAAGGTTTCTACCTAAAACTAATGAACGTAGTGGATAACGTTAGTAAATTGAGACATTTTCAAATTCCAAAAATTCGTCTACAGTTATTCTAAATAACCTGAATCATTAAATTTTATATTGAAAATTGAATTATTGATTAAATGTTAAAAATAACAATTAATAAGATTAAAAGGTTTTCAATAATAAATAAAATTTGTATTTGATTATACTAGATACTAATACAGTAAATATGTACTTAATATAAGATTTGACAGAGCAAGAACAGACAGAAAAAAAAACTTAATCAATCAAAAGAATAATTTATAACAGAAGTGAAAGTAGTTTGACAACCTAATACTACCCCAGTGACTGACAAAAACAATTTTTAAAAATTACCTTTAATTTTTGGAAGTTATTTATTCCAGTTAATACGAAAGCTCCCAAAGTAACCTCACTTTTCACAAAGTAAACCCATTTTACGTTAAATGACTCAGAAACAAAAATATTTATTAAAAATCTAAAAAAACAGTCATAAGTATAATTCTTAACCATCTTTCAAAAAATGCTGATTTCAGAATTTTATTGGTTTAGTTTCGTCAAAAAAATAATAATAATTAAAATTCTAAACTAAACCCCATCATAAACATCTAATTTTAAAAAGATAACGATAGGACAAAGAGGTCTCTTAAAAGATAAATTAACTTTATTTGAATAGATGCTTACTGTTTTAGTTTGAAACTGTTTCCTTCCTGGTGCGAGTGAAAAAGAATTTAATCCGGGTCTTCTACTTTTCATACCAACATCCAAGCAACTAAATAAGCAAAAATAATTTATATTAAAATAAACAACATTTGCTTATGTTTTGAAAATCATTTTCAAATTGGGCTATTTTGAAATAAAATTCAATATACACCGAAGAGCCATTACATTATGACCACCCTCCATCTATAACAGGGGTTTCCAATTTATATGAGACCGGAGGCCACAATTAAAAACACATATCAAATGGCGGGCCGCAACTTTATCAAAATTGTATGTAGGACTCTTATATGTTTGAAGGAACATTAAGTATTACTGCTAGATTTTTACCAAGTTGTACAAAACAAAAGTATTGAATTACAAATTAAAATAAGAAGTAGATTTTTAAAAATATTTAATTGTTATTAATAATATTTTTAAAAATATTAAATAGTAAAAATTCGGGCTACAATAACTTTAATGTTCACCCATGTATTGAACAATTAATGTGCAACAGATATCTAATTGTTAAGACATAAGACTTTAAAAAGGTTGGTATTAAAACTTACATAGTAGCACACAAAATGTTTAATGAGAAAATTGAGGTGTGTCTGCTACAACCACCTGAGAATAGATACAGTCAATTCGCTATAACTCGAAGTACGATAACTCGAATATTACTATAACTCGATTTTTTTATGAGGTCCCGACCCTTTTATCTTCAATTTCATGTTAATTATTCTCGATTACTCGAATTTTACTCCCTTTAATTCGATTTTTTTGGATCTTTTAAAGCAAGAAAAAAAAACTAGGATTTGATATCTTATATCTGATATTATCTGATATCATATTATCCTTTGCAACACACACACAATGTCTTTCGCACTCTTCATGGAGAAAGCTAAAGCTGTCCCTCTTGAAGTATGTGAACAGTGGTTAAATGAAACGTTACCAAATTTACTTCAAGGATACAGTTAAAATGATGTTTTCAATATTGATGAAATGTGTCTATTTTTTAAATGTCTTCCAAATAAGACTATGATGTTTAAGGATGAAAACTGCTCAGGGGGTAAAATGAGCAAGGAACGTTTGACTGTCCTAGTTGAAAGAAATGCGTCTGGGACAGAGAAATTACCCATACTTGTTATCGGAAAATACCGAAATCCCCGATGTTTCAAGAATGTAAAAATGTATCCTTTGGATTACAAGTCTAACAAAAAGTTTTGGATGACATCAGTTTTATTTGAAGACTATGTAAGAAAATTGGATCGGAAATTCTTCGCTAAAAAAAGAAAAGTGATACTCTTTATGGATAAATGCACAGCGCATAGTGATCTACCTAATTTGAAAGCAGTAAACTTGCAGTTTCTCCCTCCAAACACAACAGCAAAATTGCAGCCGATGAACCAAGGTATCATAAATTGCTTCAAACAGTCTTATCGTAAATGGCTAGTCAGAAAAATGATCTTAAATATTGTAAGCATTTAGAGCATTTGTAATTAATAAGCATTAATTAAATAATCCGACAATATTTTGAAAGCCTAAAACCGAAACTATCGGTAAGTCGAACTTCCGATATGTCGAAGTTTTTCGTCAGTCCTATCAGATTCGAGTTATCGCGAATTCACTGTATTTACATTTTAAATTTAAAATTTACAAGTGTGTGTGTAAATATTTTCGTCCAAAATGAGTGGTTTCAAAAAGTTAAATCTGATACGCACGTGCTAAATTATATTAACAAAATACAAAAAAATGAAATGAAAAAGAGCAACATACACGATTATTTTTGTATTTGAATAAATACTTTCTTGGATGCAAAACCTGAGAAAAAAAATTTTTTGTACCGTTGGTATGTTAAATTTCACAGAAATGAAGAAATTAGGTTTTTGTTAACGAGAAAAGTATTTAAAACCCATATAGATCTTTTACGAAAATTTTCCGCAAAAAAGTGACAACTCATGTATTTTAGTTCGCGGGCCACAAAGAAAGGCTTCACGGGTCGGATGCGGCCCCCGGGCCGCGAGTTGGAAACCCCTGATCTATAACAATGGGCTCGCCCAGGTTTTCATGGTTTCTCGCCCAGGAACAATGCTTTCATGGGGGCACATTAGGATCCATAATCCTCATAGAACAATCCCTGACGTCTGTAAGCTACTTGAGCATAGTTTCAGACCAGGTTCACCCATTCATGGCAACAGTTTTTCCTGCGGGGGATGGTGTTTACCAACAGTATAATGCACCATGTCATAAGGGTCGAATCGTCGAGGAACATTCCAGTGACTTTCAAGTCATGTCTTGGCCCCAAATTCACCTGACCTTAATCCAATAGATCATTTGTGGTCCTACTTGGAAAACCAAATTCGTGCTGCCACGCTACCATCCGTATGGAAGCATATTTGTTTGGTTTTCATGGACGTGGTGCCGTCCATAAGCCTTTGATTACTTTATCCAACAACGCTGTTTGGCTCATTTGGTGCAAGGCCCGTCGAAATCGTGCTGTAGATAAGTTCTCTAGAGGGAACAAGTTCTCTAGAGGGAGGAACAGAGGTTCAATCTCTACCAGTCGGACGGCAAGAGGATTTCGCGTATGCCAGTAGGAGAACTCCTTTTGCCAGAATGCATTGTGCCTAGTGTAAAGTTTTTTTTTGGAGGTGGAATTATAGTGCTGGGATGTTTCTAGTGGTATGAACTGAGACTCTTGATCCCAATTCATGGTAAGCTCAACGCAGACTCCTATTCTACTATTCAAGAGAACAATGTGCTTCCTTAAGCGGTAGCAATTTTTCGGATAGAATCATTTTTACTTCCAGGATAACAATGCCACTTGTTATGCTACGAGGTCCACCATGGACTGGTACGATGACAACGGGGCAGACCGAATGGATTGGCCTACCTAAAGTCCAGATCTGAATCCTATCGAAAATCTTCAGAACGAGTTGGATTGCCGAGTTAAGGTATGCAGCTATCGTCTAAAATCGGAGAAGGAACTTACATGTTTCCTCCAAGCCAAGTGGAAGAAAAAACAACTGTTAACATCAGCCAAACACTTGAGGAAAGCGTGTCCTTGAGGGATAAAGCTGTAATTGCCTCAAATGGAGGCTCTACCGACTATTAAATATGAATAAAATGTGTTCGTCTCTTATCTCATGTATCCAATTACTTATTGGTAATTATCTACTGGTTGCAAAAATGCTTGGAAACGGACAAATATCTTTAAAAATGTGCAATGCATAAAAAAGGAATATTAAAAGAAAGGTCCACCCTAATTAGCATTTGATCTATTGATCGGATTTTCACATTCGATGACTCAGTCTTAGTGCTTTGATAGGGAGACCTCAAACGTGCTAATTAATTTGCACAGACTATATTTTAAATTGAGAAATCAGACACAAAACGTACTTTCTTTGAATAAACATAACTTTTTTTCGATGCACTTGACCCCCAAAGTATAGGGGGTAGCCGCAATCTGGAAAATATGGTTCTAATAGTTTGATCAGGAGAACGCTCCTGACCGAAAGTTTGGACCCTTTAATGTTAATTTTACTTTTTGCGTATTTCGATAAATCTCGAGAATTTTTTTAACCGAATTAAAAAAAAATGGCGCACAATTATAAAGTTCGGTTTTTCAAAGATAAATCTATGCAAAAAATAACTTTTAAAAATTTTTTATTATTTTTTATCATTTTATTTACTAATGGTCGAAAAATGTTCAATTGTAAGGTATAAAATTTTTGCATAATTTTAAAGAATGTAACTTTACGTAGAAAAATACAAAATTTGACAAAAATCGGTTGAATAGTTCATGAGAAATTGAATTTCAAAAGTTTTTAGATATTTAAAATTCGATTTTTCAAGAACTTATTCTACTGATTTTGTTCAAATTTTGTATTTTGCCTTGCAAAATTATATTCTTTAAAATGACATACCTGCCAACTTTTATTCCTTCCGAGGATGATTTTCCCCAGTGGTAGTAAAACGGAATGTAAATTATAATTTTAGGCAGAAACATAACTTGTATTTTGAGAACACTTCTGCGGTCTACCAAAACAGTGTTCCATATTAATATATATATATATACTTATTTTTTTAAAAAATAGTGGTGATCAAGGAGATTATAAATTTAATTTATAAATGCAAGGAATATATAGAAAGAGCACATTTTACTACCACTTTAAATAAAGAATTGGGCCATCATTAAATAAAATAAAAAATAATAAATATTTACTAAAAGTTATATTTTGCACGGAATTGTCTTTGGATAAACTAATATTATAACTGTGTGCAAAAATTTTTCATTTCGGTTTTAAAGTTCTCGAAAAATAACGAAATATGCAAAAAGTAAAATTAACGTTAAGAGGTCCAAACTTTGGAGCGCTTTCCTGATCAAACTATTGGGACCATATTTTAGAGGTCCGATATTCGAATCCGTTGAAAAAGGGTACGTTTATTCAGAGAAAGTATGTTTTTGTGTGTGATTTCGTAATTTAGCATATTTGAGGTCACCCCCTCAAACCATCAAGATTGAATCCTAGAACGTGAAAAGATCCGATTATTAGATCAAAAATTACTTAGAATAGACAGTTTTTCTTTCTCGTCTTTTTTTTTTTTTTTTTTTTGCGCATTGCACATTAAAGCAAAAAAGAGAAATTAGGCGCATTCAATATTTTTTTAAAGCTATTCAATACCAAATTCGAGTTTTATCCCCTGGCAACAAGGTGGGGGGGGAGGCTAATAAAATACTCTTTTCGAAATTTATAAATAAAAATCTTTTATAAGGAAATATATTAGTTCAACAGGTAACTTTTCAGGTTCAACTGTAACTTTTTATAATATCTATACAAAGTAATTCCTTGCAGCAGTCTATCGGTGAGTTTTTGAATCTGGATATCTGTCTAAATGTGTGTTTACGAAAATGAACAAAGCACAAAATGCATATGATTCAAAATCGGTTTTTAAAAAAATAGACATTGATGTTTAAAAAAATGGACATAGCATTTGATTCCGATTTTCAAACTTTTCTAATGAAAATTGGTCCTTTTTTTTCGGATGCAGCTTAAAATGCTTGTTTACGAAAATGGATACAGCAGAAAATGTGTGTTTGCGAAAAAGTACGCAGCATTAAATGAGTGCATACAAAAATGGGCAAAGGAAAAAAAATTAGCCTGATTAGTTTTTAACCCGAATTTAACAATTAAACGAGAAATTATTGCTTACTTTCCTTACTTATTTAAACACTATGTATAATCATTACGGACCAAATTCCGGAATGGGTGGCAAAGTATATTAAACATGTAACTTTTCAGGATATATATATATATATATATATATATATATGTATATATATATAT